CCGATTTACTCAAACACCAGGTTCCTCTAATCCCCCTCATTCATCAAAACTAGCATCATCATTAACAGTAACGAAGATGACCAGGTGATTTAAATCAAATGTTTACACTCCAATTTTGAAGGCTAGCCAAGGACGGGCTGACGGTCATTCCGTCTGCCAATTGATGCCAACCTTTAAGCTTTCAAATTCGAGTTGTATTCTCTTAGATGGGCATACTAGGTTTAAGTGCGGCTCGGTTCGTGGTTTCTCTGACCACCAGTGGTGCATGGTCGAAAAACCTTTTTTTTGTTTTTTGACTGGAATTTTCGTCACAGGTGCTCACTCGGAGATTTGAGCCCTATGACCGGAGATGGACACTCCCGCAAACAGCTCTAAAGGTCTTGTGATAGGATGAAGATGAAATATTTGATAGTTTCAATACCTCTACATTCAACTGTTTGGACGTCGGTTGAGTCAAATTACGTTATTGGCAAAAGCCTAATACAAGAACTTATAGACCCATAAGTCTATGGCAGTGAGCGAGGGCGACAATGGTAGTCTTGAGGTCGGCTGGGCCGGTTAAGGAATTAACCACGGAATTCCAGTGGTATTAGGAAAAACACTTTGGAGAAACTGCGAGCTGTCGGCTCTGTGATAGCTGGCCAACCGGAGATATGGAACAATCATATCGTGAGTTGAGACCCTACAGTGGGCTGAGCAAATAATCGCGCGTTATGAGGCTAAGGGCTGCGCAGTTTAGAATTGTTGCTTTTCCATGCCAGTGGATTACGGTTAAGTATGAAATACATACCTACCGCTCGCTCGTACATACTCTGCGGGACTTGTTGGCTCACGAGACTCGCTAGAGGAAGGGAGAGGAGAGTTCACTGGCTCTGTTCCTACTCGCTTCAAGCCCACCATGCAAGCCACCACTGCAAACACACCCAGCTCTACGAAGCATGCAGACACTGGCAAGAAATTTAACAACCGTTCGATCCCGAAGGTTCCTCCAGGGACTGCGACCAACGATCATTGACCCATCGACATTCTCAGTCAGCGATGTGGTCTCGACTGCTGATACTCATTCCCAGCCGTATTACGGTTTTCAATGACATTTCCGTGTAACCGGTCCCCCCGCACTCAGGAAAAAATTTGAGATCGATGTTTCAAGCCGCAACTCTTTTGGACCCCTACATAAAGTAGCTGTGTAGTTTTCAATTCGACTGACAAAACAAAACGCAGACTATCAATCGGTACCTACGCTGGAGTAGGTAGCTGAGTTAGGTAGGACATGCATGCACTGTTGATCGGATGAGAAAACGGAAAGGCAAAATTCATCATAGGCAAGACATCGATCCGTCACAATAGGAAAACAAAGCAAAACAAATCGCGGGGAGCAAGCAAACTTGGGGAAAAAGCAAAGTGAGACAACTAATTAACCAACTAGGGGAAAGGTCAATGCGCTTTGCTTGGATGGGGATTTTAGGATTTGACTTTCAGTAAAAAGGAATTATAAAGTTGCAACGAGGCAGGGCAAATAACAAATAGGAAAGGAACGGCGAGACGAGAAAAAAGGAAATAAAGGGGATGAGGATGTAGTTAGATGATGAGCCTCGATGCTGAGATGTTGGTTTGGCCTGTTCGAAGATGTTTAAGGGTAAGAAACCCTAACCCTATATTTATATAAACATGCAGTACTAGCGCTTTCTCGGGGCTCCAAACAGCTAATCTAGTAAGGACTAAAGTGAAAAGGAAAGACTTTCGTGACATCTGTAGGTATGGCGAAATCCCTTGCGCTTTAGGAGGGAAAAAAAAAAATTCGTTAGGTGGCTTTTGAATTTTGCCGGCTACTTTCGTTGTGTCTTTGGTCTTTGAGGCATCGGAAATGATCGTGGCCTCCCCCGGAGGTAGAAGTGCTCATTGGACATTTTCCACTCCCTTTTCTAGAAGTTGGTTACCAACGGCTACTACAATTGCAGTGGTACCTTACATACCGGTAGGCAAAACGCAACACATGACTGTTTTTCCCTGACACTTTTTTTCTCTTTCTTTTCTTTTTTGCCCTTGACGCTCGCTCTGATCTGACCCGGGGGTTTATTTAGAGCGGAAATCTACATATGTATGTTTCGTGCCGCCGGGGTAAAAGGTTTCCTCGGATTGGATTGGGAGGGTTATTCAAGTCGCACATAACTGAACCTATGTGGTTACAAATGTTCCATCGTGATTATGTATCACCCAAGAGCCGATACCGTGGACCGCGGCCGAAAAAATGTCACGATGTTGTGTGTGGTGGTTTGACTTGTGCGTCCGGATGGATAGTAGCTAAAACCGTCCATTATGTCCGGTGACGAACTCATTCCACTCACAAGGAAAAAAAAAATGTTTCCCTCTTTGTTGTCTGTGCTTTGCTTGTGCCATTCATCTGGTAAAAAAAAAAAAAGAAGGCTTGAGGCATGGATGAATCAAAAAAGAGGGGTCACATGCGTTACAAGCGAGGGCGGGGGTAGGCAGCGTAGGGAGGGACCCGGAGGGTACAGAAGGTTAGCAAGGGAAGGGAGGGAAGGGAAGGTAGGGAAGCTAGGGGAGGGGTACGTGCAAGGAAAACCTGCATGACATGCTGGACTCTCTCTGTCTCGAAAAGCAGGTCGGCGTCATGTCTGTCCAGATTTCTAAGGTGAGGGGTGGCGCATCGTCTCGACCTGACTGTTTGTTTCCTCATTTCAGAAGAGGGAGGGTGGTTCGACAGGGTTCTGTGTGGGGAGAGCAGGCAGAAGAAGGGTCGTTTGTTTCGATCTGTGTGGGAGGATGTAGGGTCGGTAGATTCGTAATGCGGGGGAGAAAGAAGGGTGTGCTGCATTTTTGTTAATTCCTCTGCTTTCAGGGTAAACCAACCGCCTAGCTTGTGAAGGGGAGGGTTGAGGCTGTATGTATGTGGAAAGAGCTGTCATGACATCGATCAGATCAGATACAGCAAGGCCAATGTTTGATTGTATATTTTTGACACCGATAGGTATGGGACATTTAGATTGTATGCAGTGCAGTGCAAACATGTATGTACAAAATTTGTAGGCGCACCACACACATACTCACAAGCTCCTCCTCTCTCTTCCTTTTACGTATGTACCCTTGGAGGTAGGCAATATCTTGTGTGTGTTTTATGGTACGGCCATGGGGCGGGTAGGTAGCATGGGTGCAACTGTAACACACCAGGACAGGAAATTTGTTTTTGATGGGCCATTTAATTATTTAATTGAGATTTACAGTTTTGGTAGGCGTAGGCACTGTAGATCGCCCTGTCTGCCCACCTACCTACCTACCTACCTACTCCAACTACCAGAACTGGAACCGATAATTGGCTGATAACCGGGGAATCGAAACACGTTAGCTACTCCAGAGGAGAGTTACCATCGCTTGGGTTATTGGTATTACATCAGGCTATCGATATCTGTGGGTGTGTGATGTGATTCGATTTCAGGTTTTTGGGGCGTTGTGAAATATTTCCGGCGGCGGTGAAGTGAACCACTGCTGAGGATGAGGGCTTGCTTGCCGCGCGCTCCCCCCCTCCTCCTCCTCCTCGTGCTTGGGAATTGGATTGGATTGACTTTGCCCCCCCGCCAGCTAGCTAGCCGGCCGAGTAAACTCCTCCACCGTAGCTTCCCCACATTTCTTTCTTTCTTGTTCAGCCGGAAGTCAAGTCACGATAGTTTGCCAGCCAGCTGCATCCACCACCACCTCCTCGAATTGGATTGAGTTGAGGGTGACGAGAGAATGATATTAGGTTTCCCGGTGTATGTAGATGACATAACATACAGACCGACATTCTCTAGCTTCTTGGGTCCCACCCATCCCATTCTGCTCTACGGGGTTAATTGACCTTAATTGCGTGCGGTCTTCTTACTCTTCTGCTGCTGCCACTTTCTGCCTACCTATCTCCACCCGCAGTCAATTTTTGCCTCACAAGCTTAAGCACAAAGGAAGAAAGAAGAAAATTTATTACGAGACCACTTGCTCGCGTGCCCCCCTCACCTCTCTCTCTCTCTCTCTGTGCTTCTCTGCTTTCCCATCCGTAACTACATATCTGAACGTCGTCCTCCCCTCCCCACCACCACCACCACTGGCACGATATACCTACCTACTCGACATCATCCCTCCCGGCCCTCCTAATCCCTATCCCCATCCCGTATTTCCGTACGTACCTACGCACGTCGACCGACGGCTCCCTGCAGCAGCGCAGGCAGATCTTAAATTTCCCACGCCTACCCACGCACGCACGCACGCACGCACATACATATCCCATCCAAACCCAAATCCGCGGGAGTACCGGATCTGTAGGTACTGTTCTGTTTTGTACTCTTGTGTGAGACAGACCTGGATAGCTAGGTAGCTCGGAATTCTCCGATTCAACAAAAAAAATAGAGAGAGAGAGAGAGAGAGAGAGAGACCCAGGGACCGAAACTGGACGATCAGACCCGAGCAAGCCCGTTTTTTGCTTGCTTTTTTTGCTGGTGCTTACCGAGCGAGAGAGAAAGGGTGGGAAATTCGCACGGCCGGTCTGGTCTGAGGATATAATCTTTTTTTTGCTGCCCTTGTGAAGAAGAAGGATTACTATCAGAGTTTCTCAGCCTCATATCGTCACCGCACGCACGCACGCACGCTCCTCGACCGAGTCGTTTTCCCATTCCCAGTTGGTGGACGTCGACTTCGCCTTCAGCACAGAGACATCCGTTCAAATACGACCCAATCCCCCCCCCACGCCCCTCGACACCCCAAGAGCAGGGCGCGGAATTTCGCCATCGATTCTCAAGAGGGCTGCCTATTAGTACTGCTACTACTGCTGCCTACTGCTACATACTGCTACTGCCTACTGCTACTACTACAGACGTCTGCTAGATATATATATATATATATCCACCCCCCGAGTCCCAGTCCCAGTCCCAGTCCCAGGCAGAGACAGAACTTCTCAAGAGCATAGCATCTACTATCTCAACACCATCTCCACCACTCAAGGCCTCTCTCTCACGATGCCTTCCTCAACACCCACCCACGTCTTCATCGTCCGCCACGGCGCCCGCCTCGACATGGCCGACGCCCAATGGCAGCTCTCCTCGCCCACGCCCTACGACCCGCCCCTCACCTACGGCGGCTGGACGCAGACCCGCAGCCTCGGCTCCCGCATCGCCACCCTCATCGCCAACAGGCTCAACACCCCCCACCCCGCCTCCACCACCGCCGCCCACCCGCGCAAGATCCGCATCGTCATCCACTCCTCCCCCTTCCTGCGCTGCATCCAGACAAGCGTCTCAATCGCATCCGGCATCGCGCAGCACCACCACCAGGAGATCACAAACACGCACTACGTGCACGCCGACCCCGACGACGCCGACGGCGAGGGCGACGGCGAGCTCACCGTCGACCCCGCCCCGCACGACCGCTCAGAGCACCAATTCGTCAAGCCGCTGCTGCGCCTCGACGCCTGGCTCGGCGAGTGGCTGGCCGAGGACTACTACACAGACATCACGCCGCCGCCGCCCACGCCGCTGCTCGTCGGCTCCGCGAAAGCCGACTACATCCGGCCCCCCTCCCCGCCCCCTTCCTCCTCCGCCCACCACGTACAGCACCACCACGTCCCCTCGCTCTACAACATGTCGTCGCTCGCGGCGGCGCTGCCGCCCGCGTTCACGGGCGGCTTCGTCGCCCCCACGCCCACGTGGGCCACGTCGCCGAACGGCCCCATCCCGCGCGGGTACTTCTCGCACGCGAAGCAGTACGCCGAGTTTGACATCGGCTGGGACTCGACGAGGCTGGGCGGCGGCGGCGAGTACAAGGAGGAGTGGACGGCCATGCATAAGCGCTTCAAGAACGGGTGGAACCGCCTGCTGTGGTACTATGCCACCGAGGACCCGCAGGTGGCGACCTCGCCGACGCAGTGGAAGCGCTGCGCGGCCGGCGAGGCGGCGGTGTCGAAGCCGGCTACTCCTACGCCTACACCAGCGAAGGAGCACCCGCAGCTGGCTACGGCGGCGGCCGTCAACGGCAACCCGACGCCGCCGCTCTCCGACTGCGGCGACGACGACGGCGCCGACACCGACACCGACACCGACACCGACATCGAGACGGTGCTCATCCTCGTCACGCACGGCGCCGGCTGCAACGCGCTCATCGGCGCAATCACGCACCAGCCCGTGCTCATCGACATCGGCATCGCCTCGGTGACCATGGCCGTCCGCCGCGACCACGACTCCTCCCGCTCTCACCACCACCACCACCACAGCCACTCCGCGCCCCCAACAACAGCAACCACAGACGACGCCCCCGCGGCCCCGCCGGCGAAATACGCGCTCCAGATCGTCGCGAACAACGAGCACATCCGCACGGGCGCCACGCCGACGAGCACGCCGCCCGTGTCGCCGCACCTGCGCTCCACGGCCGCGAAGCGCACGACGACCATTGGCGGGTTTACGCTGGCGGCGTCGGGCGCGGGGAAGGAGATGGCGATGTTCGGGCATCATGGGAAGCGGAGCGCGAGTACGGCCAGCTCCGGGCCCGCGCCGAAGGGGCTGTGGAGCCGCCCCGTGGATGGGGGGGATAGTCGGCCGGCGAGTAAGGATGAGAGTGTCGGTAGTGGGAGTGGCATCTTTGGGAGTAGCAGTATGTTGTTTGGCAGTGCGATTGATGGCGGGAGTAGTAGTGAGGATGAGGAGGGTGGGGGGAGTACGAACGGGAGTATTGCGGAGGAGCCGGCGGCGGGGACGGGGCTGTGGGGGAGTACTAGTGCTGTGAGGGGCAGTGGGCTGTGGGGGGATTCGGGCGCGGCCGGGTGGGAGAGGAAGAGGAGGTGGACGGCGTCGACGAGGAGTGAGTTCCAGAATTAGGGTGGAGGAGTGGTTTGCGCTGGGGTTTCGGGGGAAAAGTTTCGACTGTATTATATTGACATTTAGTTTTGTTACTGGGCGGTATCTTTTTTCTGCTTGTTTTGCGTATTTTTTTTTGCTGCGCTTTTTCTTTTACCTTTTTGTTTTTTGTTTGGAGTGGGCTCTTTTCTTTTACTTATCGGACTTTCTATTGGCGTTTATGAATCTCTATCTCCCCTTTGGCATACATACGGCGGTCTGCGATCTTATCTCTCTACTTTTTTTTTTTTTTTACTTGCATCAATATGGGTTCTTGATAATCTTTCCCTTTTTTTCTGTTTATCTGTATTCTTACTCACCCGGTACGGTTCTTCTTGTCTGTGGTGTTGGTTTGATATTGGGATTGATTGGTACGGGTGGAAAGTTTAGTTTGTCTGCACATATCAAAATCTAGCTAGCTAGCTTAACTACTACTTGTGGGGAATTACTACTTATTGATTCGAATTCTGGTGTTTTGCTCTCTCGTCTGCTTTGAAAACAACTGATGATTTATTTATCCATCTCTCCATGTGATGAGCGGGATTCCATGTGAAGCCTAGCTACATAATATAATCCACCAGCTGTAGAATGTCATCGCACAGGGTCCATCCAGTCCAGGCCATGCTCTAAGCCAAAACGGTAAATCCGAGCCCGTGCCGAGGCTCTCGGGACGGGAAGCGCGCAATCATTCGCAATCACTCGCCGCAGCCCGCACGCAGCAGCACGCTGCAGAACTTGTAGAAACCGGAGAGCACAGGCGGGGTGGTGCTGATCGTTCAATTTTCACATGCAAATTTCGTGGCGGAGCTAGAGACGTACAGAATGCACTAAGCTTTGTGCTTTCCAGCGTTCTTTGTCCGTGCGGTGTCTGTACATGTAACTAACGGTTCCTGCAGTTGCATGTCGCGGATGGGAAGACGACACGACACGACAGACAGACCGGATGTATGCAGCACGTCAGCCAAGCAGGTGTGTCTCTCTTTCCTTCACTCTCTGGAGCATCCTTTGGCTAACAGTATACGAGTGACGGAAGATGATTTGTGCTGCTGCTAATCAACGCCTCGAGGGGGGGGGGGGGGGTCGCCTCTTTAGGGCACGGCTCGGGAGGTGGGCGAATGGATGACTACATGCCTCTTCCATGTTGTAAGTTGCCCTGGCTAGGTCTGCCTGTCCTGTCGGTAGGCAGTGAAATTGTTGAGATTTTGATGCCGGGGGGGAGGTCGAGCAAGGGGACTAGAGTCGGTAGCTATGGACCTGCTCTACTGGTGTAGAAGAAAAGCAGATTGAGGCGGGGTACGGCCTGGAGTGCTCTTCCAGGGAGATGCAATTGCTACTCTACTCTACACTCGCATGAGATGCAAGACGGGGAGTACAATTGTAGGTATGTAGAGTAGAGTAGGGAGAGAGGGGTAGGTGCATGTACGAGTACGAATCAGCACGCTTTGCCTCAGAATCTCAGAGTGAAGAGACGCGTCCGACGCGTCTATAGACTCGTGGATCGTGAAGCTTTTCAAGCGTGTGGCCAGGTGTCATATCAGCCCGCCCACAACGGGCATCTAGATTCTAGATCAACCATGTAGTGATGTCGTCTGCCCAATTAGTCAGAGATGGTCCAAGCGCCTGTGGCATGACTGAATGGATCGTCTCCACCATAAACGAAGGGGTAGGGATGGACTCAATTAGGCTGATATCGATCCTTTAGCTGGACAGTCACTTTGTAGCTAGCTGTGACCGGATAACTATCTGCCCTTGGTTAATCTCATGATCTAATATATCATAGGGTTGGTGTGTTGTGTTTTGTTGCGTACCGGGTTTAAGTGCTGGAGATGGGGTGTGCATTGTAAATTCTACAGATGTTTGCCACGAATCGTCCCATTGAAGCGTACCGAGGTTTCCTGGATAAACCGGAGAAGGCAGAAACGTAAGGAAGAGTAAGCTCCTAGCTCCAATATATGCTAAGAACAGGTGTTCGGAGATAAGTACGGACTACGAAACGAAACAGCTTTGGCAAACCTGCTCCGGCCCTGTGATTATTTGGGCTAGCTGACATCGATGACAGCTCTTGGTAAGAAAAATATTGTGTAGTATGACTCTGGTCAAAGCATTGCCTGTAGCATTAGGTAAATGTATAACCTTTCTTGCCTTCTTGTTCTTCATGAGGTATCACTCGCATATCGGCGGTCGGAGTTGATTGATTGATTACTTCATTAATTGTATTGGTGGCCGCGCGGTCGGAGTGATTGATTGATTGATTGATAATTCATTGAGCGGCAGGAGTGTGTTATATAATTATTTTTAATTCCTTTATTGTATGCAGCCCGAAGGAGTGTGTTGATTGATTGATTGACAATCCATTTATTTCGGAGTATGTTGAAAAGTAGGACGAGATAGTGAAGTGACTTGACAAAGAGTCGAACTAGCTATATAGTCACGGATCGGACAAGTGTCGACATGGTAGTGATAGGTGTCGACAAAAAAGGTTCGAACAGCTCACCTCATGTATGCGTTCGACGACATTTGGGGGGCCGGGTGCCCAACACGTTTATCGCTGCAAGTTTCTTGAGCTTGACACATTTCAGAGTGTCTATATATTTACCACTTTCCTATCATGTCAGCAACGCGACGCACCTATTGTGCAGTAGCGGTTCTTTGGACTTATTTCATGTCAGTAGAGGGAGGTGAGAGATAGTAGGGAGTAGAGGTGGGCTAGACGCTACTGATAAGTAACGGCGTGGGAAGCAAAATAAGTGTTCATACCAAGATAAACCCTTGTAAGCGGGAAGGTACTCGACTGTATGAAAGCTTCACCGCGTGCCGTATAAGCACGGAAACATGAGCCCTGCCATATAAAACCTCCGCACCCGGGGAAGCAGAGAGATAGATAGCCGGATCTATGGACCCTCTGATTCTACCAACAATGGCCCACTAGCAATGGAGATGAGCCGATTTACCTCGCCGGCTATCCGAGTGACCTCCCATTCCCAAATGGCCGGTGCCGCTGGAACCGGTGCCGCTGGAACCGGTGCCGCTGGAACCGGCTTTGGTGCGGAGTGCTTCCCGTGTGTGCTGATGCTGTTTCTCGAGGCTGGAAGACTCCGACTCACATCATCGCTAATGAAAGTTCTTGATGGTGCTTAAGACTCGCTGCGAGAGTTGTCCGTAATGGTCGCTACGGGCTATGGAGAGTTCGGTAGGTGCTGAGGATGACTGCTTTGGCTGGCGAGTGATAAGTCATGATTGTAACTCAACTATCATGTGTCTGAGATTGAAAATAGTATGTAGTATCATCCCATGATCATGTAACGTATGGTTATCGAAGAGAGGAGAGAGAGGCTCAGGTCACGACGAGCCGCCAAGGTGTGAATGGTTCTCTCTAGATTGTGGTTGAACATCGGAACTGAAGGGTTAGGGGTTCCGACTCATCTTGGCACACACCAGTCCGCTAAGTATCACTTCTAGCTAGTACACAACATGGGCGAGTGGTCTAGTGGTTAGACTGCTCGTCAGGCTAGACACCGAGTGTTTGTTCTCAGGATACCAAAGGTCCGGGGTTCAAGCCAGGGGTGGGAGTAGTAACTGGATTTGGTCGCCGGTTGCAGTACTTTTTGTTCTTTTTTATGTGAAGCAGAGAAAGCGAATTGATAATTATAATTTACTCGAGGCTACATACTTTCCTTCGCTAGACGTTGTTATTCATAGCCCGACAGCCCTCGCCCCTCATAGGAGGTATTGAGTAGGCCACAAGACTTTCACACTTACTACCCTTAAGCTTAGGCTCGGTGTGGTTCTTATGATTCTTTTCCTATTTGAAAAAGATCATCCGGTTACTGTTCTTATATAGCGCGAGTAAGTGTAAAAGAATAATCTATCTCGTCTTGATTTGAGGGAAAGCAAGGTGAAGAATTGACAAATTCCAGTGAGGCCTACGTTATACCTCTCTATGATCATCTCTGAATGGATCGAGGTATATATCTAGATCTAGATCCGTTTACTTTAAACAGTAGAACCAACAGTCTCTCGAAATATTTGTACTTTAAACTTACCTGGCAAGGCGAAGCTTTGTCCCCGGGCATTTTTGGCAGTAATTGGATGCTCAGCGCGCGCAGACATTCGTAGATCTGAAACCTGCATTCTCCGATACTTTCATCTCCCTCGAGTACTAGCAACGCCTGGGGCCCCGGGTAGTGGTTCTATCCGACTGCGGCCGACTATACCGACCCAGGTAGACTAAGTCCAAAAATTAGGACGGACTGCATTGGACTGCACCGGACTGGATTGGACTTCATTGGACTGCATTGGACTGCACCGGACTGCATTGGACTGCACCGGACTGCATTGGACTACATTCGGACTGCATTGGAGAAAGTTAGACTTCGTCGGACTGCATTGGAGAGAGTTGGACTGCATCGGACTGCATTGGAGAGAGTTGGACTGCATCGGACTGCGTCGGACTGCGTCGGACTGCATTGGACTGCATTTGAGAGAATTGGACTGTGTCAGACTGCTTTGGACTGCATCGGACTGCATCGGACTGCATTGGACTGCATTCGGACTACATTGGACTACATTGGACTACATTGGACTGCATTGGACTGCATTGGAGAGAGTTGGACTGCATCGGACTGCATTGGACTGCGGAATTACACTCGTCCAGCCAAGATAGTCCTTACAAACCTTTGGACGGACGGGATGGACTATGGAAGTCTTAGTTAATAATAATATAGGCCGAAGCTCCAATGTATACACCGAGGTTCTTGTTGTTAGTACCTTTATATAACTATCTTATGCTGTGCTCCTGTTAATGCTGAAATAACTTTGAACAACTGTTACAATTACTGTTGTTACACCAGGGCTCCTGTCGATTGGTCCGATCCGGCCTAGGACTAATATATTGGTAAATTCGCAAATTGAAGTTACCGGAAATTTCTAGTGTATCGGGCTTCAGTACTCCAACTCAAGACTAGTGAATCAGAGATAACTTGAGGAGTTGTGCATATACATGCGTTAGAGGAACTATTTTGAGGCCTGAATACCCCAATTTACTAGACCCGCTTGTTTTCCGAAGCATAAATAAGTTCAAAAAGAATATAATCTTTGTGAATATAAGCTCACCAAAGTCTGTATCTGAGTTTCTTTCACTGTCATTGGCGGTGAACAAACTGGCCTAACAAGTTGAAGAATTCAGACTCTTGAATAAGCTCTAAATACCTTGTTCAACTATTACCAGGCTTTCTTGAATTGCGTAAACGATCTGTTAAGTATTGCTTGGTCTGCACCTGAATGGGCTTTAATCTTCATACCCTATCGCTCGATGCCGAGACTTTCAAGCCGGGACGATGCCTGTACAGAGGGATGGATAGTCGCGCGATACGTGCTCGTTCTATAGCACAATCCACCAAGCAACCCAAAAGTCTAAACCCCGAGGCCTCGAGTTCGAGAACGTAAAATGAACGAAGGTGTAAAATTGACCTGTCTTTGTCGATGGCTATTCTACTATACATACTGCTGCACCAAATGAACGTAGTGATGGTCACGAGATAGGATGTCTCGAGCTATCGTCTCGAAGCTTGCCTGCAAGACCCGACAATAAAGAGAGTTTGGAGGGACAATATCTTGAGAAAAGACTGAGGTTTGCCTCGAGACATAATACAAGACTTTTTAACCACTTAATATAAATACTCCATACAAGTCCAATAATAGTTCGCCAAGTCGGTACATGGTCAAATAACTTGCATCAGATAGATATGTTTATCCCAAATTTCAATAATCCTCAACGAGAGCATTATTTCTACTTGTCTTAAGCAATTGCATACGAGACTACAATTATCTCGCAATGGACTTCTCGAGACTCCCGAGACCATTTCTTTCATAGACAGTACAAGACGAAATCACTGCCAATCTGATCTCGTCTTGTCTCGTGGCCATCATTAAATAAACGGCTGCTCCAATCCTCTTGACGGCTGCTACAATGTAAACGAGTACCTGCTGTGTCTGGTGTTATAGTCGTTCGTTGGATGCCGACGAACGGGGGGGAGGAGGTGGGTTGAAGTAGGAATCATTGAATAGGCCGGTTTGGTAGTTCAGTGTCTGCTTGAAACTCCTGTTTGAGACCCCACTTGCTAGAAAACTTGGGTCAATGACTAGATCGGTAAAGAAGGGTTTCAAAGCCATGTAGTGTGAGAGACATAGGGTCCTCTGACAAAGTAAACGTATCTATAAACGAGGATAGTTAGTGGACCCCGTCCCTCTAACGGACTGGATTTGTGGTCGTGATAGTCAAACCGGTGGGTGTTTGTCCTGAGTTGAGTCATGAATCTCTGGCAACCTCCAGCAGTAGGCAATATTTGAAGTCAGAGAGGTCAGCTGAAAATCACCAGCTGAGGTGGGAACCGCAAAAACCCCGAAAAAACGTTTTCGGGGATGCTCGTGGTGACTGGATCATGATCTATGACTCGACACCACGTCTACATGCCGAGGTCCTAAAGAGATATTAACGGATAAGATATGTGGCTACATCGGGAGACACGGCAGGTGGCTTGTTTAGATTACAACCACATATCTTGTTACGAGGATAATCCTCCTACCGAGAAACGGTTATTTTTTGCTCTTCTCCATCGAGTCTATCCCGAAGTCACACCGCCCCATCAACTCATTAGGAAATAGCAAAGTTCATCAAAGTGCTGTCCAAAATCCCCCGAAGACAGTTGAGTGTTGTTGGATGATGGATAGGGCTCGGTGTATGGACCGAATTCCAGGGAGACGATCTATCATGACGGAAGTCTGGAATCGAAAGTAAGTCCGCCCAACCGCCCCCAAGCACAACAGGATAGGATCATTATCGTACCATCTCACAGTTACACTTGCTTCAAGACATTGCCAGTGAAAAAGCTAAAGAAAATTACAGTGTCGGTAAAGAGCCTGTCCTTGAAGCGAGTGATAATCTATGCCTAGTATTCTTTTTTTTCTTTTTTCTTTTCCAGACACAACTGCACCTGTGCACTGTTTTGATACAGGAACAGCGGGTAATTGATCCGGAAGAAATCCATGCATGCCATCGGCTGTGGCACTCTTGAGTGTAATCACCTCCTTGCCCTTGTGCGGCACAGCTGAGTTATCCGGATAACAGCGGGGGGCAGTTCCAGCAAGTTGCTCATCCCTTACCTTACAAGTTACGGCGTGGGTGCCAGTAATCTTCAGAGGTGTTATAGGCTGTTTTTGGTACTGCACGTGGTACACGTGGTAAGCGAGATACTTTAATAGTCGAATACAGCGGCTGCGGGCTCGAATCGCCGTCAAAATCTGCTGGAAGTGACCTGTTCCATCTGGGCAAGAAAAATTTGCGACATGAGCCACTAATGTATCTAGCATAGATTAGCGTAGAACGTTGATCCTATCCACTTGGAACCACGGGAGTATGATTCCCATAAGCTTGAGAACGCACGAAGATTACAGAAGGTGGCATACAACCCTGTTTAGTGATCCACTCGAGTGATAGTTTATGAAACTATGAAACAGACTTGAAGCATCATCATCGGAATCCCTATGTTTCCTAATGGTTCATAGGTTTTCTTAACCACTGAGCACATCTAGCTATTCCAAATACCCCGGTAGATAATACGTTTACCGTCGTGGACTCTACGAGTGGAGAGCGATATGACAATGGGTGTTTGAAGTCGGAACCCCGATGGTCAAGAATAGACTATATGAAAGTTCTGGATTCAATAAAAATCATAAATATGGTATGATATAACTCAGCTTGCTTAGATATCTTAACCTTCTAGAGTCGGGGCTTCACGAAACGGTATTTTTGTACCACACAAGATCGAAGAAGGAAGATCGACGCTAATATGCACAATGTAGATCCAGCGGCTTCATTTCTTCTCGCCTCTGCCTACAAGCTCAGTTCGACAGGGCTTTTCTTTATCTGCCGAGACACTTGGCTTCGCTCCAAGGATGCTTTGAGCAGGCTAACAACTGATCGCTCTCACTCGGAGGTCGAATATAATCATACGTTAATGTTGAGAAATCCAACAAGAATTTAACGAGTCCCGAAGCCGGCAGAAGAAAACAAGAAACTTAAATGTACGTCTAATCGTACCCCGTACCGTGCGGTATACGGTATTACGGGGGTAAACGTAAGGCATGATCCAAGTAATTAGTGGTTGGCCGCATCCACGGTAAAGAAGAGATCTGTTTCAATATGGTACCATATGTATCGACCGGAGATGATACCCTTAATGCTTCATAAAGACGATTGGTGGGAACCTTGATTGGCGGGGTTGTTCTATTCTTATAGGTGATACAGTACCCCTGAGAAGCTTAAGCATCCTTCTATTCGCACGTATCCATTCATGTGGGTGACCGAATTCGAATATACGTGTATGTGCAAGTAAGTCTTCTCCTGGAATTCAACAGTGCCGTAGATATCTCGGGGATTGCAATCAACGCTAACCCTTAAATGGAGGAATTATTGTTATATGTGCCTTGTTATATGGTCGGATCGAGACACACATACTACAACTACCGTCCAGATCGCATCAAAACAATCCGTTTCACGCCAACGTCGATCTAGCTACATTTCCTTACCTACAGTATACTCGAACCTTACCAGATTGTACCAAAGGTAAGACATCACCCCATACATTCTGGTGGGTGTAACTACAGATGGTAGGGAAGTCTTGTAATACGTGCATCACAAACTAACCGTTCATAGAAGTTGTGGTATATTCTGGTAGAAAACTCGTACGATTCTTCAAGCAAAAACACTCACCCATTTTCTCACTCGCTCTGTTGGCTGGCTGCAGAGCTACACAGATATATGCTGTAAACAGATCTTTTTAATTAAACTTGCACATACTCACATAATGGAGTATTGTCCGTAGGTATATCAAATTCCAAAAGTAAGAAATCTGAGTTCAGTATCTCTACCTAGAACCTAGTTTGAGAGTGTTACAAACCTAAACAAACGGAAATGCCGAGAAATTTTGAAGGCCACGACTCCGCGGCCTTGGGTCCTTACAGCACAGTTTCGGTTGTTTCGTGACAGATGTCCCTATTTCCGGCGGGAATATTTCTTATCAGCTTCTAGAAGTGGTGCCCCAAACATGGGAAGGGGTTCATGCACGAGTAGCCCAAGCAGGTGGATGATGTAACTTTGATGGGAATTCTAGGATGGGTATTCTAGAAGTGAGCAAGGGGAATCCCAGGAGATCCATACTAGGTACGAGATTCCCATTCTCAGAACACTACCCTCTCAGCCATTACAAATTAGATCAAAGGAAACAGAGCAACGTTAACTGGAGATGAGTATCAGTGTGAGTCGGGCCGATAAATTTGAGTCACGGGGAAGGGCGTTGGGGCTGTTATGAAACCACTATTCGTGCTGTGGAATGGGTTCGACATTCCTATCTCCATGATGAGCGTCCAGGATCCCAATATCCACTTGCCCAATTGAAGCAGAAAAGGCGATTGACAAAACAAGCAAGTGAATTTATGAAACGTCGCTACCCCCTTCGCTCATCCACAGCTAGCACCACGGGTAAAGCCACCGACGGGACCTAGCGCGACAGACGCCGACATTCCGAAAGTAGCGGCGACCCTCGCCAGGGGTTCCAGTGACCGCTCTCAAGCAAGGTCTGGTCCCGATTGATTCAGATGTTAAGGCGATACGTCTTATTCACTCCTGGGCATAAGACACTTTTTTTATTTTCTATTATTTACTTCTTTTGACAACATACATACTGACAAAAGCTCGAGCGCAGTGCATATAGAGTATCTCACACATAGCGTTTCGAGATATAACTCCCTCAGACCAAGTGAAGATGGGGGATCCCAGTTTCCACCCCAGCCACTTCAGCCTTCTTCAGCCATATCGAAAGGTGCTCAAAATAGTTGGTTAGAGCGTTTTGTCAATTCGGCAGACGATGGCAGCGTAGAGTAATTAAATTGCTCGAGAAGGGAAGCGAGAAGGTTCTCATCTATCTAGCTCCTAACAAAAAACTGCCGGACCGTTAGTGGACGTTTGACGTTAAGGATCCTTAACCAGGCTAGACTTTATCTATTAGCGCAGATCAGCCGTATTGAGGCTCTGCGGTCGCCCGTTCGTCTCGATTATTGGTGGCTTTTGTCAGTCATGATTGGCGCTTTCTTGAGACTTGGAGAAACGTTGTTCACAGTACTTTTTGTGGCTAATTTGAGTTTGGTTTTTTGACGGCAGCCTGAATGCAGATGAATCAATGCACAGATTCGACAGGCAGTTACATACATGTAGTTCTTTAGGACTCGGGGCAGAAATACACGATATTATATTATTAGACAGTAAGTACAAGTTATGTACTCTTGCAACGAATACTACATGTATGTGCCGTACGCTTTTCAGCTCCAAGCTTGTACTCACATGTGCACTCTACCGGTGGACTCACGCAGCGCTACCTAGAAGAGGGACACGACTCAACGTCGTCTAAAGCACCCGGTACTCTACTCGCCAAAAAATAAAGTCTGTGGATGAACTAAGTACCGTTGCAACGCAACCATTAGGCCAGGTACTTAATTCATCCACAGACTTTATTTTTTGGCGAGTACATATGCGTCCAGGAATATGTGCAGATATCAACATAAACCGTCTGGGCACGAACTACTAGCAATCTAGTTAGAGTTTGCATGCGTAAACGTCATAAACCAGTGGTCGGTGAAGCAAAGAACTTACTTTTTGATCATTTCTACCCCCCCCCCCCCCCCCCCCCCCTTTTTGGAACTCAGCATGTGAGCATGGCAATCATCGACCTGGCTAATAATAAGTGGCCGTGTAAGGAAACGAGTGCTTGGTAGCGAAAAAATGCCAACTAGGTATATCCAATCCCGCTTTCTGACTCTCGGCTCCTGAAGTAAACACTACAATATTGTAAGATTTTCGGTTTAATCCGCGGGAAAATTATACAAGGAAGGTTTCAGGCATCTGGACGAAGTTGGAAAGGGTGCCCTGGCAGGCAATGACGAGATGGGATAGTCCGTGCTACCCAGGTACAATCACTCTACCATGATAGAGTAACTGACCCTTGCACCTACATCACGACCGACAACACCATCACGACTTTTTTTTCACTTTCGTATTCATACAGTTGCTTTGCAACCACCGCTTTTTGCGCTTCATATTCTATTACCGGTAGTAAGTGAATTATTATTTACTTCTTCAGGCATCCCTGCTCAAGATGCAGATAATCTTCCCCCACCACCACCTTCAGCACCAGCAAGCACCCTTCCCCCGTCCCTTACCCCTTCTCGCAAATGCAGAGTATACATACTATCTGTATGTAGGGCATCTTACAGTGCATTCCGCCGGCCTCCTTGCCGATTTTGTTGACTGCCCTCCTCCTCCTCCATGCAGCTGTTCCGTATCTTGGCCTTGTACTGTTTTATGATCTCGCACCGATATGGGTGGTTGATCATGAGAGAGTGTGTCCTGGCCGGATAGGTACCTACATGAAGAGGAGGGTGAGGTGCGTGGTGTTGGAATTTTATTTACTCTTTGGAGAGCAATTTCTTTTTATCTACCCCGCCTTCCCTCCCATCTTTTTTGGCTTCCTCTTTTTTTTTTCTTGTGTTGTCTTCATACCGACATATCGGTCTCCACTTCCCTCCCCACCCCCCCCCCCCCCTTGCACAGCACTGCACTGGGTATATATTCTTCGTTTCTCTTGTTGCTGCCGCCGCCGCGACTACCCTTATATTCAGCCGGTGGTGCCTTTTATTTATTTATTTATTTATTTATATATTCTTTGTTGCCCACCTGTCAATGCTAGCTAGCTAGTAGCCCTGCTCTGTCATAATTCCTACCCCCCCCCCCCCCCCCCACAATCGATCGAGCGTGCGTCCGGCAATCAAAACTCACTTTTTATGGTGACACTGCCAGCGCCAGATGCCTTTTGCCAGTCCTGCACGTTCAAGTTCACGTCTACGCTCAGGTTCACATCATCAGCATCCAGGTGGTAATCCTCCTCCCCGTCTTCAAAAGAAGAAGGATCCAAAAGCAGAGTCTACTACTACCCTTAGTAGTATCCCTAAGAAATCGGCATTCATCCGCTACTGCTGCTTGGTCGATCTCTTGCGCGGCGGCCAGAGACAAGAGCACCTCAGGAAGAAGAACAAAAAGAAGAAGGCGGTCTTGGTCGTTGTTGTGGGCGCGGTTCATAGGCGGCGATTGTCTCCGACGCTTGTGGTGCGGGAACGGAGGCGGCGGCGCGGGCATACCAGTGCTGGGAGTGGGAAGAAGAACAAGGGCGGCCCTAGGACGAGTTATACAGGCGCAGGAGTAAGGACAGGAGCAAGAACAGGATCAGGATCAGGAACGGGAACAGGAACAGGAACAGGGGCAGGAGGATCGGCAAGGTCTTGGATTGTCAATCAGAGGGCCTCCTCCACGACCACTTCCCTGAGGGCTTCCGGCGTCACATCGGTTTATAACCCCACAGCTCCGCTCCCGCCCATACCGCAGGAAGAAGAGGAAGGAACATCGAGCTTGGGCTTGGACCGAGTAGAGGAAGTAGAAGAAGAAGAAGATACACAGGCATCATCATGCCCTCCGACAGCGGCGCGGCATCCTCGTCAGTCTCCCCAAAAGTCATCGTGCCGTCAGTCACGGTTATTGCACTTCTTGTTCTTATAACATTCATTGGCGCAGTGATCATCTTTATCCGTGCGTACAAGAAGCGACGGCAGAACCAAGCGGACGCCGAGAAGCAGGATGAGGAGGCAGCAAATGCCACCGCCGCAGCCGACACCAAGACTGGCAAGTATCGGCGGAGCGGCGCGAGTAGCAGCGTTGGCGGTGGTGGTGGTGGTGGTGGTGGAGGAGGCGGCGGTCGCGATGCGGAGGATGTGATCAGCCCGGTACCTCGCGCGGCGCACTCCCACCAGGAGGCACGGGACATTGTTGAGCAGGGCTTCCGCCGGAGCCGGCGGTCGGGCGACGACGGAGTTGAGCGGGGTGTGGTATTTGGGCAGGGCTACAGCGTGTGGAATGGGCCCGGGCAGCAGCAGCAGGACGAAGGTGCGGCGCCGGTCATTGGCAAGATTGAGCGCATCATGGGCAACCCGCTGTCAAACGACTTCTACACCGACCGTGCGAGTGGCAGCGGCCACTCGCGCAATAACAGCGCTGCAAAGGCAGCAGCAAAGGAGAAGAAGAGGGAGTCGAAGAGACACAGCTACCCCGTGGTCAACACGAAGAATGTACCGCTGAGGACATCTTCGGCGAGGCCGACCACGGCGCTGGAGCTGGACACGAACCTGTCGCCCGTGTCGCCGGACGAGACAGAGCTGTCGACTGCGCGCGACTTCTCGCCCTACAGCGGAGACAATGGCGTCTTCAAGTCGCTGTCACCGCCCCCAGCGGTACCAGCTGCCATTGCGCTGCGGTATCCGAACGTGACGGCCCTAGTGCGAGCGAACATCCCCGGCGAGTCGGCGTCGAAGCGGTCGTCGTTCCGCTCATCGCATCGGACGTCAAACCGGTTCTCGTACACGCAGCTGCACGACGGGACAAACCTCTCGGACCACATCTCGTCGCAGTACAGCCGCTCAAAGAAGGAGCAGAAGTCGCCGTCTCCCGTCCACATCGAGAACGTCAATACACCCGATCCCCTCCCAAGTCCGCCTGCCTGGGCGGCGTTTGGCGGGTTTGGCACCTCACGGAACTCGAAATCATCGTCTTCGCAGCCATCCAGGATCTCCACAATCTCCTCCGGTACCGACAAGTCCGCAGGGCAATCCGTCAAGAGCTACGGCCACGGTCACAGGCTCTCGTGGAACGGCAGGAGCGTCCTAGACCTCGACCCCGCCCCGCCACCCGTGCCCTCGAAACACTCAACACCCCCACCGCCACCCCCACCGCCTATCGTCCCCTCCTCCCCTACCCCCTCATCCCCCTCCCGTCCACTCCGCCGCAAGGACAGAAACATCCCCATCGAGCCCACCTCACCACCAAAGTTCGCAACAGCCCCAAGAGTCCGCACATCCGCCTTCGGGCCCTCCCGCCAAAAGAACTACCCGCAGCTCCCGCCCATCCCTCCAGACCCAGAAGACGTCGCCAGCGGCCAGCTGTTCCTGCCAACGCTCATGTCCCGCTCCGGGTCGAACTCAAAGATGTCGGTCCTCTCAGTGCCATCCACAATCTCGTCGTTAAACACCATCAACACCATCACCCGCTCCACAACAGGGCTCTCGCCCACGCCCGCGCGCCAGTATACACCGCGCAACACGCCAGAGCCGTTGGCGGTGGTGCCGGACAGGAGGAGTATTGGTGCGAGCACGATACTGACGGAGACGAGCGAGACGTCGAATATGACGGCGGCGGAGCTCGAGCTGGAGATGAGGAAGATTAGGGATCGGGCGAAGAGGGCGTCGGAGGAGAGGAGAGGCAGTAGGATGAGGCATGAGCAGAGTTGGTTGGCGGAGGAGGAGGCGGAGAGTTCGAGGCGGGGCCCGGGGGTCGGGCATCGCTTCTTTTGAGGATTGAGTATTGAGTACACGCACATATGATATTGGTTTCTCGTTTTGGTTTTGGCATGTGGTTTTCGTTGTTAAAAATTTTATGGGGGTTATTATTAACTGGGCGATTCTATTTCTATCTGCATCTGTGGTAGCGGTAGCGGGTGTTTTTTTCTTTTTCATTTCTTTTTACTTATTTTCTTCTCTCAATTTTCATGGCTGGTTGGGGGATGCATTTCTCTTCTCTTCTTTTCTTTCAATTCTTTGTATATATTTATTTCTTCTTCGGCGGGGCGCATCTAGGATGGGCAGATTTTTTTTTTTTTTTTTTTTTATTTCCTTAGTGGCTAGTGTTTATTTTCTTTCCTCTTTTATGCATCATTATCATGGGTCAAAAATCACCTACTTTTCATACTTCTTGCTCGAGCGCATTCTGTCTGTTTTTGTATGCATATTTATCACAGCGACCTGGTGTTTTTGGATTGTAGTGTGTGTCTGTTAGGGGGGTTAAGTACATGTAGTAGCAGCGTACACTCGTTTCTCTCTCTCTTTATGTCTTTTTTGTCTATCATAGCATTCTTATAGGAGGAGGGGGGCGCTGGTTGGTCTGTGTGGTCGTGGTTGATCTCTCTCTATAGCTAGCTAGCTAGTACGTACATCATTATCATTATCAGAGACGAATAAAAACACACTAAACAGATACTGGGGTGTTCCTTGGTGTTGCGCACTTTTTGGAGGTTGTTTTGATCAGCTATTGCGTACTCTGAACATCCCTTCGCAGATTAGCCAACTAGCTCTATGTAGTCAATGAGCTACTACATGTAGTAGTGAGGGGATATGCTCGACATTACTACCACCACCATGGCTGGCCAGGGTCGGCGATGTTTCCATTCGCGAAATCACGTGCGCTAGATCCTATCTGCTTAGCTATATCTAGCCTAACCCCCCTTAACCATAAGATATTGAATGAAGCCTCTCTCTTTTTTTTGTGTCGTCGTCGTCGTCGTTGTTGTTGTTGTTGTTGCTGGCGGGCGTGTGGTAGATAGCGTAGTAAGAGGCAAGGTTTATTAATCTATTTAGACGTTCCACGTACGCCCTTGCAAACACGGGATGCCATGGACCGGGGAGGGGCGCTCGTTATATAAAACTGCATATACTTGTATAGATCGATACCATAGAGCTATTGCGTCTTCAGGGCCAAGGTATCGGTGAAGAGAGATAGAGAGTACCTAAGGTACTATACTATAGTAGTAATTGAGGTTGGGGAGTTTTTTTTTTGGGGGGGGGGGGGGGATGGTTGATGGTGCGTCATGGACCATCACTCGCAGGCTGTTTCCGGATGCGGGATAGCTGCGTACTGGGCTTCCCGGCACCCGTCGGAAGGGGTCAGTGATAGAAATACCTACTGTGCCGGCGGCAACGGAGCACAGGTAATATCCGAGTATTAAGGTACATAGGCGAGAAGCGAAACAGGGCGTTTCAGTTTTTGAGGTAGAGTAGCTCGGTAAGGTATAGTTGTACCTACTCTATCTTGCCGCTGTTGTCGAGATTAAGGCGCGGGCCCTATTGTGGTCATGCTCAGGGGCAGCTTAATTCTTGGACCTCGGGAGCGCGGTGGGTATGTAAGGGACCCACCACCGTCCCTGGTAGAGAGTTACATAATAGATGGCGAAAGGGTGGTTGTGGGGACGTCTGTGTGCGCTGTGTATCGAGTAGTCGATCGGGTTCCTGCGTAGGGGATGGGGATTGCCTGTTTCGTTTATCGGACGGTAAACTGAGATATTAATCCTGGAATTTGGAGTCCGGGAGATAAGATAAGGCTAATAATTGATGGTAGAGGGGAACATGGGCATAGGTGATTAATTGGGAAGGGAAGGGATCTTAGCTTTAAGCGTAAGGAGATATCGTACCCGCGATATTACAGAATATTTTGATGGGGAGAAGCCCACGTGTACTAATAGCAATCAGGTGGTAGAATAGAGTTCTGTAGCCAATGTCTGGTATGATGGTAAACTAGAGACGTTTGGAGGTACAGCGATAGCTTGCTATAAGGTACCTTCTACAGGGGTAATCGCTCTATAAGGGTAGTATTTCTCGGTCCTTTTTGCCCGGCTTTCAGCGCTGGCACCCTTTATATAAGGGTAATCTCTCTATAACGGTACCAAACTCCGGTCCCGAGCGTACCCTTATAGAAAGCTTTCGTTTTAGAAGTATTCTGCCTCTTCTGGGGAGACGTCAACGAAGCGGAATTCTCGTTCACTACATGTATGTAGTGCATGGATGGACAAGGTAACAGTTTTGAGAACCAGAGATGGTGACTCGTGAGAATTGAGTACACGACCCTCTTCGTTCTAGTGTGGCTTCGTGGTCATAAACATACCAAAACATCCGGAACATACAGCAGAAATAGACTGCAAGGACGTGGGGTTTGGAATTGATTGTTTTTTATTTTTGTTTCTTGTGCTTTGCACTAGTAGTGGACCGCGAGTTGTATTTTGGATTATATATATAGGTATCAATCAAGTGTGCAATAATTGTGGAAGGCCTTCCACGGGGGGGGTCCTTCGGCCCCCGTCCTCCTCTTTCTGTCAGTAAAGTCGAGCCCCGATACATATTAGACAAGCTGCGAGGAATGTGTTTCCACTGAACACTTAACATACCGGTTGGAACTGAATAGCTTAGGGTAATATCACTTACCACTACACACAACTTTAGGAGTTCGGATTCAGAGCAGATGGCACTCTAGTTCTGTGGTTATTTCGAGTACATTCAGACAGTTCTGACTACATCCAGATCTCCCCCAAAGTCGGAAACAACCGGGAGACTAAGAGGAACTCTCCTCTCATGGTTATCTACCGTCTGTCTTGTCTGCAGTTGATGATGCTCCAAGCAGACATGAAATTCTATAGTTCAAAGTTCAGAATGATGAAAGAACTAAAAACGCAGCCAGACAAATGATTGGACGGCCGTTGAAAAACATCCTGAATAAATCATCAACGGCAGCGGGATATTTTCATCCAGTATTCGACTATGTATATACTCACCAAATAAACCAAAATAAAAACCAAAGAACCAAAGAAAAGAGAGAGAGAAAAAAAAAGGGAGAAAAAGCCCCAAAAGTACCCGCTAACAAACCAACACTCCGCCTTTCTCTACAACGAATCCAAATACGTCTCAAACCTCTTATCCTCCTCCTGAATCGCCTCCTTCGTCAGCTCCCTCGGCAGCGCAAACATCGCCAAACACCCGGCTATAATACACAAACACCCCGTGATGATGAACGGCGCCCGCAGGCCCCAATCGCCCTCGAATCCGCCGCAGGCCGCAATCACCATATTGAAGGTGTAGGTGCCGATGAAGCCACCGCACTTGCCGCACGCCGCCGCGATGCCGTAGAACTTGCCACGCACGCAGGTGGCGGGCGATTTTGCGGAGAGGAGCCCGATGTTGTTGCCGGGCCCGAATTCGCCGAGGGAGATGAAGAGCCTGGATGGAGAGTGCCTGTTAGCTGCTGCAATTATCATTACCCCCCCTTGTATGTAGTCTAGCTGTGCTAATCAAACCGGCCCAAGCACGACTAGCTACGGGGGGCTCACAGGAGAATATCTCTGAGAAGCCTTACCCATATAGCACAATCAGCCCCGCCGCATTCCCCTTCAGCGTGCTCCACGCCGCCGCAATCACGCCGCCGACAACCGCCTGCGCCCACACCCCCGCCGCCAACCCCCTCTGCGCCCCAAAGCGCTCACTAAACCACGCCCCCGCCACACTCCCCGGTATCAGAAACAGCTGAATGCACGCCGTGAGCCCAAACACCTTCAGCAGCGACGTCTCGCCCAGCACCGTCTTGACGATGAACGAGCTGTACAGCGAGAACGAGAACGACGACAGGTTGTAGATGAACCACACGCCGCTGCACGTCAGCAGCGGCCGCCAGTAGTAGCGCATGAGCACCCTGAACGGGACTGTGCGGTCGCGAAGCGCGTGCTGCTGCGACTGCTCGTTCTCGGGGATCAGCAGGCGGATGAAGAAGATGAGGAAGGGGAAGAGCGCGCCGAGGCCGAGGGCCACGCGCCAGACGCGGTGCAGATCGGTGCCGTAGGCGGCGAGGAGGATCACGGGCATGACGGCGGCGAATTGGAGGCCCTGGCAAAAAGGAGTTAGTATTCGACCGAGTGATACTTCGTGATGCAGCGCCCAGTAGAACTTACGAGCCCGATGTGGGTGTTGGTAAAGATGATAAAGATGAAATCACGGCCTTTCTTGCGCTGGGCGGAGGACTCGGCGCAGGCGACGGAGCCCGAGGGGTATTCACCGCCGATGCCGATGCCGAGGAAGAAGCGCCATACCATCAGTGCTTGGATCTGCACATCACAAGATATCAACCACCACTCTTCCCTCTCCAAAAAAAAAAAAAAGAAGTCCAAATGGATACAGAATATAAAACCAAACAAAAGAAAGCAGAAAGGGAAGGAAGGAGAGAAAACTCACAACCCCCACCGGCCCGGGCGTCACTCCAATTGCCGTCGCCGACATGATACTGCACACCACCAGGAAGCCACTCGAGATCAGCATCCCCATCTTCCTCGACCACCGGTCCACAATAAAGCCAAACGACAGCTGGCCCAGCACAATCCCCGCGAACCCAATCTATCATCATCTCAGTCAATCACACTTCACTACAAGTTTTTGCCAAGCCAAGCCAAGTGGGGGCGGGGTCAATGATCAAACATACAGAAGTCACAATCCTCGACTTGTCCGGCGTATAGTGCTCCGGCCAGGCCACAGCCAGAATCGTGTTTACGGCACCAATGATCTGATTTCATCCCCACACCAGGTTAGGGTTTTCCCCCCATTTAGTGAGCAAAAAAGAGGTAACTCATACTCCATTCAGATATCCGTCTGAGAAGAGGCCAGCGCCGCAGGCCATGATGGCGACGTTTGTGGACGTCTTGTCCGCCTTTGCAATTTCTGGGTCTGATGGTGCGGACTGCTCGGTCTGCTCGGCTGGGAGCAGCTCTATAGAGGTGCTGGCGGGCTTGGGTTTGGTGCTCATTGTTTTTGTCAGCTGTGGGGTTGTGGGTTTTGTTTGGGGAGAAGGGGAAAAGTATTTTCTGTGGGGGAGTGGAGTGGAGTGGAGTGGATTTGGGGGAAAGAAGCTTTATGGGTGGCGAGGTTCTGTTTCTTCCTGCTTTAGTTGATGATGAGCCAATGACCGCACGCTAGTATTTCGTAAATCTACTTCAACTCCAAGTAAAACACAACCAGCTAGCTACAAACAGAAACCTTTATATGCCATCCCCCTATCCTATCCCCCTTCCTAAACCAGATAGCTCACGACAGCCATCAAAGCCACCACCGACCACCCAAACACCACCACCAGTATGGCCAGCACAAACGCCGCCAGGTGCCTCTGGTCAGGCCCATACAGGCTCCACACCACGCCCGCAATCACGCTCAGCGACAGCGGCACCACGCCCGCGAGAACAACCTTGTCCGCCCGCCACGCCTCGACAAACTCGAGCGCATAGCGGTCCTCGTCGAGCGAGAGGCGGTGCGCCCACTCGACCCAGTGCCGCTCGCCCGTGCACTTGTACGGGTGGAGGTAGCACTCCAGGAGCCTGGTAGGCGAGTGCGTCGGCCCCTGGAAGGTCGACGAGACGTGACGTTCTGCGCGGTGATACTGTTGCACAACCATGAGCATCTCCTCGTATATGGGGGAAATGATTACGAATCGTGACATACCTCGACAACCGCAATGCGCCTCAACCCCCTCAGCGACAACGCCCGCCGCCAGAACCCGCGGAGCGAATTATAGCGGGCACGCATCTGCAGGAGCAGCTCCGCATCGTCAAAGTCGTCGTCGACGCCGTTCGGTAGCGCCAAGCGCGCGATACGCGGGTCGCGCGAGCGCCGGTGGCCATACACGCAGAGCACCAGCACGCACTCGTTGACGAGCTGCTGCAGCGTCACGGCGGGCGCATAGAGGTCTGCGTGCTGCGGGGTGCGGCAGCGGCTGCTGCCCGCGGTGCCGCCGCCGAGGATGTGGCGCGGCGAGAAGCGCGACGTCCATTGGTTGATGCTGGATGTGATGGAGCTGGTGACGGAGGGGGTGCGCGGCGGGTGGTGGTGGGCGGCGGCGGCGGGGATGGTGGGCACGGGCGGGAGGGCGTGCGTGTAGGACGCTGATTCGGTGAAGATGGAGCTGTGCGGTGCGCCGGGGCGCTGTAGCGGTAGCGGTAGATCGATGTTCAGCCACGAGCTCTGGCCCTGCCCGCCGTTCGTGCACGCCGACTGCTCCGACCCCTGCCTCGCCGGCCCCGCCAGCGGCGAGCTATTACTCGGCTGGAACTGCGCCACCTGCGTCGCAATGGACGGGAACCGCTTCTCCTTTTCCTTCTTGTTCTTGCGCTTCTTCCGCCTCACCGCCTCTTCCCTCTCTGCCCGCCGCAGCGCCCTCTCTGCAGACGCAAACAGCTCTTCGCAATTCCCTACCCCCGCCTCACCCACCAGCTCACCCCGCAGCGCCAGTGCTTCCTCCGCTGGAAACCGCGCCGTCGTGCTAGTGCGCACGAAGCCCTGCTGTTGGCTGTCGTAGATGTACATATTCTCCTCCTGGCCGCTTGTGCCGCGGGATAGTAGCTGCTGCACGGGCTTGATGCGGTGGTAGGCTTTTACTTCGCTGTCGGGGGCGGTTGTGGAGAGAGAGGTCGTGGCTGTGGGCGTGGGCGTGACGCGGTAGAGCGTGGTGACGTCGATGGCCGCCGGGCTGCCGCCGAGGGGCTTGAAGATGCTGTTGGCGCGGATGGCATAGCCGGTGAAGGGTGCTGTGGGGGTGATGCTGATGGGGAGGGTTGTGGTCGTGGGGCGGAGGATGGCATCGGTGTGGAGGGTGTAGAGGGCGCCTGTGGAGAGGGGGGGGGGGTGTTAGTTGGGTTGTGTATCTATGTGTGGGTAAGAGAGATATGGGGGTTATAGATGGTAATGACTAGACTGCGATATGTACTTACCATTGACATACATCTCCACCCCGCCCTTCTCCTCCTCCCCATTCCCCATCCCTCCATTCCCCGCCAGCATACCCTCCTCCCCCTCCCCCTCCCCCTCCTCTTCTCCTACTGTTGGCTTCCCCGAAACCTGAACCGTCTGTATCATCCCCGCGCCCACACTCCTAAACCCCACGCCCGCCGCCTCCTGCGGCGTCGTGAACGAACCCACCTCCGAGAACGACGACCGCCGTCTGAAGCCCATTGAGTGATGGCGGGAGACGGGGGTGAGAGGGCCGAGGGTGGTGTCTTCGTCCTCGATATCTACACAAGAGGGTAATTGTGTGGCTATATTATTGCTGTCCATTGCGGTGGTGTTGGTGTTGGGGTAGAGTGTACTAGAAGGGACTTTGGGTGAGCTCAGAGCAGAGGGAGGGCTGGTGTTTTGTTAGTTGTAGAAGCTCCTCCTTTTTTGATATGGCTGTGGGGGTGTAACAAAGAAAGAAGCTGTAATCTGAAACTGGGGGCGCCACAGGGGCGGGCTGTTGGGTTGGGGGACAAGAGGGAGTCAAGGTTTGGGGTCGGTGATATTGTTTCACGTTTCATGGCGGGGGATGTCACATGTGTTTCTGTCTGCCAGGGCCCGGATGGGGGATTATTGCCCGGGTGAAACTGGGAAGAAGAAGAAGAAGGAGTGGAATTACAGCTTTTAGCTTTTAAGAAGAATAGTAAGCAAACAATTTTTTTTATTTGCTAGCTGGTGGTGGCTAGCTAGCTAGAGTTGCTGTTGCTGTTGCTGTTGCTGGCCCTATGATATGATCCGCATGCCTAAACGCTATAAGCTACAAATTAATGCCCGTCCGCATCACCAACTATCACCCGTCCCCAAACAGCCACCAGCCAGCCAGACAGCCAGTCAGAGAAGAAAAAATGAACACTACCTACTAAAGAAACCCCCCCCCCCCCCCCCCCACACACACCCCTAATCCTTCGTCAACCTCGCCTCAATCCTCTCCTTCTCCTTCCTCCTCGCCTCCTCAATCTCCTCCTTCGTCGCATCATACCCCACAATCCCCGTCTGATTAAACGGGTTCTCGGGACTCTTCTCAAACTCCTTCCTAATCAACTCCTTCATCTGGTTCAACCTGAGCCCCTTGTGCTCCTCCCTCACTTCGGGTAGTCTCCGCTCCTCATACGCCGCATACGCCGCCTTGAACCTCCTCTCGGGGTGTCTGTCAACCGCCACCTTGGCCGCATCGGTCGTAAGCGATAAAGCGTCGAGCGCATCGTCGATTCCAGATGCGTTGAGAGACGCCAGTGCACCGTCCAAGCCGCCGCCGCGAGTGCGCTTCTCGGGCGCTTTGGACTTGGTCTTGGGTTTTGAGGGGAGCGAGGCCTCTTCTTCGGCGAGGGCGGCGGCGGCGGCGGCTTTGCGAGTGGCGGCTTCGCGCTTTTTGGCTTCGGCAGCTTCTCTGGTTGGTTCACGCTCTACATCAGCATCCACTCTCTCACATACATTCCCTCGCTCTCTTTGAACAAGGGGGCAGGGGGAGGAGAGAGGGGGGGGGGGGGGGGAGTTACTTCTTCCCACTATCCTTCGACCCCTTGCTCCACTCCTCGTCCTCCACGGCCGCACGCTTCGCGGTCTCGGCGCCTACTTTGGCGGCGGCCTTGTCGGCTTTGCGGGCCTGGCCGAGCGCCTTCTTGGAGTTCTCGGGCTGCTGCTTCTTTGGTCCCATTGTTGCTTGTTGCTATTTGTTTTTTGCCGTTTGCCTGTGTTTGTAGGTATGTGGGGTTTGTAGAAGGTATGAGGTATGTAGGTGGGTTTGTGGAGGCAGGTGGGTTGAGAGGAGGGGCCGTCTTTATCCCTGTGCTGCTGCTGCGGATTGCCCCATGTTCACTCACGTCATTAGTGAAACCCTAACCCTGGTCAATGATTGGGATGTGGCTTTTGGTGGGATACAGCGTTTCCCTGTAGGTACAGTAGCCGAGCATTCACCTACAAATATTCCCCGGCTGCGGGCTGAGTGCCAAACTTGTTATGGTGGAGGTCCTCTCTGCTTGGTATATTGTGTGCTCGGAAAGACTGCAACACTAATGGGGTTTTCAAGGGATTGTTGATCGATGTTTCGCCATCTGAGGTCTGTCGGGTGAAGGAAGATAAGAGCGATGATGATCATATCAAGTCAGTGGCCGCAGCTTCACTTTATAGGCATCTCAAAGCTACAGATCACATAGATATACCTCACCGGTTATAACCGCAACGTGTCTCAACACCTATATATCCCTCTAACCTGCCCCACAGCGTTTAGAGACTTGTGGCGGTGTTATCGTTACCACATGCACACTGGACTTCCCCGAATGTCGGAGCCAGAGAGCTCATCTGTAGAGTTATGCGGCTTGAAAAGCCACAAGGCCATATACACCGGGCCGGAGGTGTCGCACCTGCTAGGGCAGGACGTTGCGGCGCCTGAAACATCACTTTTTCCTATGACATGTATGCAAATAGTAGAATGGATACATATATAATGAGAGTAAAGAAATCTCCCCCGCTGATACATATGGTTTTGAACAGCTTTGTCTAGCATTCTGTAAAAAAAAGATGTTTTTTTTTTTTTTTTGGCATGTGGGGGTGGGTGGATATTGAATTTAATAATTATTCAGAGACCGGTTAGTCCTGGCTGACGATTCTGATCGATGCCATCTTGGTATGTACGTATGGGGCCTTGAGTGGTTCGGTCAGCGCAGATCCTTCAGAACGATAGGTGAAATGACCCATAGAACTGTCGACATCACCAGTAATTCCTTCATCGATTCTGATCCGGCGGTTCACGGACTTGGCACTTCATCGAGTCTGACTTGGTACTGGTTTGGCACTAATCGTGTGGTATAATCCGGTTAGAAACTAGTAGTATTATTATCCCAACAACAGGGACATCCGGGCCTGGCCAGCTTACTGGTAGCTAGTATTGTAGTGATTTCTTACAATACTACGGTACACCATGTAGTTAGGCCAGGTACTTGTGTGGGTAGTTAACCCCCCCACATGCCAAACACTGCATCCAATATGAGCACTAGTATATTCACGATTCCACTTCCAAACAACTACTAATTGAAGAACCGTGCCAAATCGTGTTTGTACATTTCCAAGTTTATGTAGCCTGGGTTATGTTAGGTATCTAGATTACAGTAACAGGCAACAAGAGAGGGAAAAGAAACCCAGAGAACTCAGCAAGAAAAAGAGAGAGAAAAGGCACATTAAAAACGCACATTAAAACCCATGAGGAAATAGTATATCACCAAACGCCCAAAACAGCACAAAAACACAAGCACACTCAAAACGCACTCTCAAAAAGCACACTCAAAGCACACTCAACCCCCCACAAAAAAAAAACCGCCTCAAAACCAAACCAAGGCCACTCATGACCGTGTCCATTAAATTCGCTAAAAAGCCCTCTGCCCCACCCCCCTCACACCACTCAAATTGACCACCCTCCCCCCACCACCCATCCCCCCCCCGGCGCCCATGGCCGCAAACGGATTCACCGTCATCGCGCCCCCATTGCCCTCCTCAGACCCGCTCTCCTCGCCCTCGGCCTTCCACCTACTGCTATTATATATCTCTGCCACTGCCGGAAACGCCCCGGACCGTCCCAACACAATCAGCGGCCCCGTCGCCTGCCTGGCAATGTAGCCCTTTATAAACCCCTGGTCACACAGGCTGACGATCGCGCTCTCGACATCAATCATATTGACCTTGAGCCCAAAGTACCCACCTTCATCCGCGCCCTCCCCGTCCTCCTCCCCGTCATCATCCTCATCAGTATCCTCCTCCTCCGCACCCAGAAACAACGGATTCCCCCCCTTCCCAGCCCCCTGCTCCTCCCCAGGGGTTCGATGCAAAAACCTCACCAGCACCAAAATCTGCCACATCCCCACCGTCGGCGGCGCCGCCTTCGCGCCCTCGGCAACCTGTGCAGCCGACAGCATGGGCGGCCTCGTAATCAGCCACGTGCGCCTAATCAGCCCGCGCCACAGCAGGATCTGGCATCTGTTTCTTAGCGCCAGATACAGCTCCCTGCGGATCCACCACTGGCGGCGCCACGTTTCCGGCCCTTCGTCGCCGAGGGCGTGGCGGAAGCCGCGGAAGTCGCCGAGGCGGATGGCGCGGCAGATAGGGTAGAACATTTGCGCGAGGCCGTGGGCCTCGGGGCGGGCCAGGAGGGACTCCGACGGGAATTTGCCCAGGATGAGGGCAGAGGTGATCATGTAGAGGAGGAGGAGGCGGCGCTGGGAGATGTCGGCGGGGCGCGTGAGGTTGTAGGAGGTTGTGAGGGTGCTGAGGGCGGTGGTGAAGTGGGCGTTGAAGAAGTGGTGGCGGCCGAGGTAGTAGGTGTAGGCGCAGCGGTCGGATTTGGGGTAGAGGTGGAGGTAGGAGGGGATCGAGGCGGCGTTGATGTTTGTGTGGATTGTTGCGCAGAGGCGGATTTGGTTCAGCTGTGGGGGGTCAGGAAGTGGTTAGTATACATGGTATATATAATATATATAAATATAGCTATTCAGTAGAGATATAGAAAGAGAGGAACAGAAGAAGAAGAAGAAGAAGAAGAAGAAGAAGAACGCACCTTGAAATACAGCTTAAACAGTAAATTCGCAATCCTCAGCGTCGCCGCCTTCTTCCCCAACGTCTGCATCGTCGGCGCCCCCGACGCCAGCGTCCTCTCCCCCAACGTCGAATTAAACGTCCTCAGCAGCACATTCATCGCCGCATGCGAGCATCCAAACCTCGGATCCCCAATCTGCGCATCAATCCTCAACGCCGCGCTCGTCAGCAGCGCCGCCGTTCCCTTCACCAGCGGAATCAGCACCCCGCCCTGCGGCGAATTGAACGCCGGATTGATCGCGCCCATGTACGTCTTCAAGCTGCTATGCCAGGCGCGCGACGTCCCCGTGTCGTACAGCACCGCGGGGTCCAGGTTGAGCACGTACTTGAGGTAGGCCGCGACCAGCTCGGTGAAGCCCATCCATTCGTCGCCGATGATCTTGTCGGTGCGGGATTGCAGGGCGGAGGGGTTGCTGCTGAGCTCGGAGCGCAGCGAGAGCATGAGGTCATTCTGGAGGACGTAGAAGGGGTCGGCGCAGAGGAGGCTGGCCAGGAGCGGGGCGTTGCGGGAGGTGCGCGCGTCCGAGACGGTCTGGAGGAAGTGCGTGAGGAGCGCGAGGTTGTTGGAGCGCGTGAAGGACGACATTGGGAGCTCTCTGGAGCTGTGGTGAGTGCGTGGGATTGCTATAGTATGTTGTGGGTGCGAGGATGCCGCGGGTATGAGATCAGACGGATGAGATTCGGTGCTGCTGCGTGAGCGAGCGAGCGAGCGAGGCGCGGGCCTTGTCAAGTCCCTGCCAAGGATATTGAAGTCTATGGACTCACGTGATCAGCAATATGTCCCCTAACCCTGGTTTGCGGGGAAGTGTCGAAGAGCACGCCCCCGGGACATCTCTGTGCTGTGGAGGAGGGCTGCGAAGAGTCTCGCGCATCTATCCGTCCAGTCTGCGGTTCTGCGGCAGGATACATACACCCGCCGCAGCACTGGAAACCCCCAGCTGCATGATGGTGACGGATGCATCACCGTTCATCACCCGGCCCGGGAAGCCCTCGACGGCGCGGTGTGCGGCGTTCTGTACTTCTATTAGGTCGCTGTGAAGAGTGAAGGGATGAACACAAGCGGGGACGGTGTATTGGAAGCCGACTCCGGCAGTCGTGCCAGTTGAATACATGTAGGTCTACATGATAACAGAGTGGCTCAACATGTGTCCGGCAGACAGAAGTCAGGACGAGCTGTTTCGAGCCGTCGGAGCTCTTCGTGAGTAACCTCGCATACACTGTTCGTGTTCGACATGCAACATAGCAAAGCGGCCAAACCTTATGGACTCCGGCTAGGGTTGGAAGAGGCTTCCATACCCGCGTCATAGATTGTCACTCGGTTTTGCCCCAGCCATGCATGTGGATTTGGATTGGCACTTGGGTCTTTGTTTCCTATTTTACGATCAAATCACTCGCTGGAACCACATCACCTCATCGATTCTTACTTGAGCGTTACAGCTTATTGCATTACCCCCACCCAATCATGGCAAGTAATAGATACAAACAATTCAGGTATTAAAAGCCCACCAACAGTCCACTTAGACCTTGTCAATTCGCTGCACAACCATGGCTGTAGCCCCACCGCCGCCGTTACAGATGGCCGCTACTCCGTATTCCCCTGGCCTGAGAAGGTAGAGCAGTGTTGTCAGGATTCGGGATCCAGAGGATCCTAGTGCGTGGCCCAAGGCGATTGCGCCGCCCTTGACGTTTACCTTTGAGGGGTCCAGTCCGAGGATCTGATGTTCATTAGAAATCGCACAACGTAGAGCTCTTTGGCTTACCGCATGGTCCATTCTGTCTTCTAGGTACTTTCGAATAGGCAGAACTCACATCCAACGTACCCACTGCCTATTGAATGTACCTACGAGGCAGATTTTGGCCAACAGTGGTATTTTATTGTTGAACTTACCTTTTCGTTCGCCTTGCTAACTGCAGCAAAAGCTTCGTTTATCTCCCATTTAGCAATATCCTTAACCTCCAACCCTGCCCTCTCGAGCGCTTTAGGAATCGCCAAGGTGGGCGCAAGTGGGAAGTCAATAGGCTTTGTTGCAGCATCCGCATAGCTAACAATCCTAGCAAGAACCCTGCTGTTTCCTCCGTACTTCTCGGCAATTGCCTTGCTCCCGATTACTAGCGCGCTTGCTCCGTCGCTAAAGGTGCTTGAATTGGCAGCGGTCACTGTTCCCCCGACTTTCTGGAATGCCGGCTTTAGGGTCGGGATTTTCTCCATCTTGATCGCCTCGTACTCCTCGTCCTTGGAGATCACCACGTCGCCCTTTCGTGAACTAACGGTTACAGGTACGACTTCTTCGTCGAAAGAGTTAGAATCCCAAGCTGCTTTGGCCCTTTTGTATGACTCGACAGTGTAAGCGTCCTGATCTTCGCGAGTTATGGAAAGCTTCTTGGCAGTGTTCTCCGCGCAGTTTCCCATGCTGCGTGCATTCAGTTAGCGTTGGGACCCAAGAGAGTTACTCGCCGTACCATTGCCACTGGGGACTTACTGGATCTGATCGTAAACATCCCAAAGCCCATCCTTAATCAACCCATCCTCCATCTGTACATGTCCAAACGGAGGTGTTGCCCTGGGGTAGTAGTATGGCACTCTGCTCATGTTCTCCATCCCACCCGCAACCTGAACTTCCGACAACCCCAGCTGTATGTCCTGCGCAGCAAGGGACACTGCCTTCAGTCCGGACGCACACACTTTATTGATCGTGACTGCCTCAGTAGTTTCCGGGAGCCCTGCATAGATGACAACCTGTCGCGCTGGGGACTGTCCGACTGAAGCTTGCAGAACGTTTCCGAAATACACATTGCTTATTTCACTGGCCGGTACACCGGATCGAGCGATTGCCTCCCGCACGGCATGGGCTCCGAGTTTGGGGGCGGGCACGTCTTTGAAGCCTCCGTTGAACTGGGCGGAGGTGGTCAGAAAACTGGAGAGGATCGTAATGGAGACGTATCTAGCTATCCATAACATACCTTTGCGGTGGGTGTCCTGGCAGCTGAGAGGATGTATGCATCTCGCACAGAACGTTGTGGAGAGGTGCTGAACTGCCGGTTTAGAAGCGAGAGTCTCTGGCTACCGGTGGAAGACTTTAATGACGGGGCTGAGGATAGCATTGATCGAGATGAGCTGGCTTTGGCAATTGTAGAGTACTTTGAGGAAAGCATGGTTCGCAGAGTAATTGATCAGGCCTAACGCTGCTGATTTGATGTCGAACTGAAAGGAAACTATCAACTACTTGATGCTAAATAGTAGCTCGAAGGTATATACTTAGGTATCGATAGGCTTCAATAGATGGATGTAGACTTTTATGAGGAATGTGGGGGTGGTCTTCAAGATCGTGAAGTTTATGCGGACCACCATATTATAAGCTTACACGTGCCATTTCACAGGGACTGTACCCCCCGCGACTAACCGGCGTTTCTAAATCCTTGTGCCTGATGACCGACTCCCGAGGCTGTCGGACAATAGTCGTGGGCATAAAAAGCAAATGAACTGTGCTATGTTTCTGCAGCCATCTGACACCTGCCAACACCTAGTGCGGCTAGATGTACTTGGCTACGACAAATTCTACGAGTCTCTGAAGCTTACAAAGTCTCCGTCCGAGGAATCTCTAATCAACAGCTTTGGCCTGGAACTTGCAGGGGACCGATTTTCACATGATTTCCCTTCCTCAGTTAGATACATACATCTACATTACATATGTAGTTAATATGAATCCGGCCGTTTTTCTCTCGAATGATTTTGATACAAATATGTCCCGGGTACAGAGAGAAATAATCATTCTCAGCCCCGAGTGCTCTATCGCTGGAATTCGTATTGAACACTCCAAATACACATGCCTGCGTAGTCTACTGAAGTACCGCTACGTGATGCAGTTCACCTTGGTGTCACAGTTATCTTGGCGTTGATTACAAAGGCTACGAAGCAGCTCCGTGCACAACTAGTCAGCTTTCTGACTTTCCCCTCCATCTACACCCTCAACCCTCAACCCTCACCGCTCACTAGCTATCGATAAGTTACTGGAAACCGATTATTTTTCAAAAACACCTCTGGAAATAAAGAACAAGTTCTTGAACTTGTCTAATCGAGACGATGTCTACCTCCGCACGTCGTCGTCTCATGCGAGACTTTAAGGTGCGCAGACCGTTTTGCAGTCAGAGCTCAAGGATGCAGTGCTATGTTTGAGAGATGTCATGTTCCAAGCTAACGGATTTCTCTTTGACTTTTTAGCGGATGCAAACTGATCCTCCAGCAGGCGTCAGTGCTTCTCCGATTAGCGATAACGTTATGACATGGTTAGCGTCCTTATCTTTGCTATGCTCTGCTGGATTGCTTCGCTCACACTATACTCGTATAGGAATGCTGTGATCATTGGGCCAGTGGACACACCCTTTGAGGATGGTACCTTTAGGCTTGTGATGCATTTCGAAGAACAATATCCGAATAAACCTCCCGGGGTGAAATTTATCAGCGAGATGTTCCATCCCAATGTCTACGCCACCGGAGAGCTCTGTTTGGATATTCTTCAGAACAGGTGGAGCCCTACCTACGATGTTGCGGCGATATTGACCAGTATACAAAGGTTTGGAGCTTCTCCCAAGTTTCTTGTAGCTCATTTTATTGACCATCATCTGTAGTCTTCTGAACGATCCAAATACATCCAGCCCTGCCAACGTCGAAGCCTCAAATCTATACAAGGACAACAAGAGGGAATATGTAAAGCGTGTCCGTGAGACTGTGGAGAAGAGCTGGGAAGGTTGATGATAGGAAAGCTGTTTGATGCACGGGGTTTCAGGTGGGAAATAAGCATAGCTATAGGGACATATCACGGAACTGGCCGGCTAGGCTATATCGTCTGATTGGGTTGAGGTGACGACTACGCAAGGTGTTGTTCCCAAAGAATCATTACTTTTTGTGCATTTGACATGTATCGTATTGATGCCTGTTTTTCTGCTAGAGAAAAACATTTCTCTTTCTTTGTTTCTTTGTTTCTTCCTTTCAATCTAACTACATACCATTCTTTTAATCTTCGGGAAAAAAAAAAGTGATGGTGCGCAAAAGGATGAATAGAAAGTAAATGGAAAAGCGGAGCTATAGCAAATACTCCCTGATGCTATTGTATAGTTTAGTCCTTTCATGACCGATCATTCGTTTCCCTCGGTTGGACTGGCAGGCCTACCTTCGACGGCAACACATGTTATTGTACGAGGAGTCTTCAGGGTCAGTAAAGACTGTGCAGTCCTAGGGTTGTCATCAAGACTTTAAAAATAATAAAATAGCACCAGTGGGGTAGATTCGGCAGTTGTCAAGCGAGGTGAAATTCCCTGATATGGTGGCTGTTGACCCAACAAAGCAAGCTGGCGGCCAAGAGCCTGGCCTGTAGGCATCTCCACCGCATAGCAACAATTTACCAGGGCAGGAAGGAGACGAGGGCAACAGATTGTGTACCTTTTATTATTATTGAGGGAACTCGACAACCACTCGTGCGTCCAGCTTTAGAACAACATTCGCATCGCCAGCAGAGAAGGAACCTTAGAGGATATCCTTCTGCTCGTGATTTCGTCTCTTTCCCTTTTGGGAATTCACCGCGAGAAACCTCCTCACTATCCCCTCTTCGTCTTCTTCCCCCGGCCCCTTCTCTGTCCCCTCCAATTTCGCAACCCCCCCCCTCCTCGCTCAACATCGTGTTCTGTTATCTGCCACGCCTCCCACTCCGCCACATTTCTTCAACTCGGGACGGTCATCACTTCATCTTCTACTGACCTATCGACCTCCAGTAATACACTTACTGGGCCCATCTCATCGCATCTCTGTGACCTACCGCGACCTTGGGTAACTTTACGTTGAAACATCTAACTCTCCTTCAATAGTAACCATGGCGTATGCATTTCCGCTCCCCTCTGTAATTCATTTCGACTTTCTACTTCAGTACATGGGCCCTACAGTTGCTAACCACCAGATACAGGAGCACGGGGAGCTACAACACCATCAAGGGTATGTCGCAGCCGCTCCCGTATGCAGCATCCCAATACAAGTTCGCTGACATGCGTTTTTTTATCTTCCCCCAGTGGTGGCTCGATTTCGACCGCAAAACAAAGTAGAAATCCGAGAAGGTGGAGAGCCGATTGTAACCTTTCCTTCAGAAGACACATGCGAGTTAGTTGTGAGTTGTCACCCCAATCCTGGTTCTCTTTCTGTTTAGCTTAGTCCCTTTTGAGCAGCTGGTCAAGTCATTGCTAACTATTTCTTCCAGAGCAAGGAAGCTGCCGGAGCTTTCACTTTTGATCGAGTGTTTGATATGAACTCTCGCCAAAGTGATGTCTTCGAATTCTCCATTAAACATACCGTCGATGATATTTTAAACGGTTACAACGGAACGGTCTTTGCCTACGGGCAGACGGGTGCGGGAAAATCGTATACCATGATGGGCGGAGATATTGACAATGACGTTTCGAAGGGTATTATTCCACGAATTGTGGAGCAGATTTTTGCGTCCATTTTAACCTCGCCGGGAAACATTGAGTATACTGTTCGAGTGTCGTACATGGAAATCTATATGGAGAGAATTCGTGATTTGCTGAACCCGGTTAACGATAATCTACCTGTGCACGAGGAGAAGAATCGCGGAGTATATGTGAAGGGACTACTCGAAATTTACGTTTCCAGTGTTCAAGAGGTCTACGAAGTTATGAGACGGGGTGGTTCAGCAAGAGCAGTAGCGGCAACGAACATGAATCAAGAATCTTCTCGATCACATTCTATATTCGTCATCCAAATCAATCAGAAGAATGTTGAGACCGGGTCGCAGAAAGCAGGTTACCTGTACTTGGTCGATCTTGCGGGTTCTGAAAAGGTTGGGAAAACAGGTGCTTCCGGACAGACACTTGAGGAGGCAAAGAAAATCAACAAGTCTCTATCGGCTTTAGGAATGGTTATTAATGCCTTGACGGACGGAAGATCGACTCACGTACCCTATCGTGACTCGAAGCTTACCCGTATTTTGCAAGAGTCTTTGGGTGGTAATTCACGTACTACTCTCATTATCAACTGCTCGCCCTCTTCTTACAATGACGACGAAACACTATCTACCCTTCGTTTCGGTATGCGGGCCAAATCCATTAAGAATAAGGCGAAAATCAATGCGGAATTATCACCGGCAGAGCTTAAAGCTTTACTTAAAAAAGCACAACATCAAAACCTCACTTATACAGAGTATATCGAATCATTGGAGGGTGAGGTGATAACTTGGCGACAAGGGGAGGCGGTTCCAAAGGAAAGATGGGTTCCTCCACTAAAAGTAGAATTGCCGAAAAGGGCAGAGGCCAAAGGTCGCCCAGGACGACCGGATACACCTTCGAAGCTTGCTACTTCGGAATCTCAAGCTCCATCACGGCCTGATAGTCGTATTGATGTTAGATCTTCTACCCCGATAACCCTCGACAAAGATGAGAGAGATGAGTTTTTAAGAAGGGAAAACGAATTGCAAGATCAGTTAGCAGACAAAGAATCGCAGTTGGCGGCCACTGATAAGACACTAAGTGATCTTAAAGAGGAATTGGCCTTCCTGAAGGAGCATGATTCCAAGACCGGTAAAGACAACGAAAAATTGGCCGGGGAGGTCAACGAGCTAAAGATGCAGTTGGAAAAGGTTTCTTTCGAGAGTAAAGAAGCACAGATCACCATGGATGGACTGAAGGAGGCTAACGCTGAATTAACTGCTGAATTGGATGAGGTCAAGCAACATCTTCTGGACGTCAAGATGTCGACAAAGGAGACGTCAGCGATGTTGGATGAGAAGGAGAAAAGGAAAGCAGAGAGAATGGCTAAGATGATGGCAGGATTTGATCTTGGTGGGGATGTCTTTTCTGATAAAGAGCGCATGATTCGGGAAGTCATCGAGAGATTAGATCTTCTGGAAGAAAACTCAGCTTCCGGCGAAGAGATAACGAGAGACGATTTGAAAGAATTGCGTGCCAAGCTCCTTGAGACTCAAGGGATCATACGACAGGCAGAGCTTTCACTCAACGAGCGTTCAGATGAGCAAGAAATAGCGCATAGACGTAGAGAAGAGTTAGAGAAGAGGCTCTTGGCAGTCGAGAGGGAATACGAAGAGCTGCTCGAAAAGAATTTGACAGACGATGACATTGCAGACGTCAAAGGTAAATTAGAACAGGCGTACCTCAGCAAACAGAGCGTTGAGGTGCAAATGCTAGAGGATTTGAAGAGGGAGGTAGCAAAGAAGAGTGAGGACAATGAAAAATTGAAGGCATCAGTGGAGGAATTACAAAGGAGAGCGAAGTCAGGTGGAGCGCCCAATGGTTCTTTGGCTGCTCTTCCAAACGGAAAAACTGTGGCACAGCAGATTGCAGAGTTCGACACTATGAAGAAGTCACTTATGCGTGACCTTCAAAACCGATGTGAAAGGGTATGTCACTTTGTGCAGTTTTAGAAGTCTTGAACCACACTAAGCCCTCGAGCAGGTTGTCGAGCTAGAAATCAGTCTTGACGAGACGCGGGAGCAATACAACAACGTACTCCGGTCGTCAAATAACCGTGCGCAGCAAAAGAAGATGGCGTTCTTAGAGCGAAACTTGGAGCAACTCACACATGTTCAAAGGCAGCTTGTTGAACAGAATAGCAGCCTCAAGAAGGAGGTTGCTATCGCCGAGCGAAAGCTTATTGCACGTAATGAGCGGATACAAAGCTTGGAAAGCCTTCTCCAAGACTCCCAAGAGAAGTTGACGGCAGCTAATCATCGGTATGTTTGTCCAATCTCGATAACATTTTGTCATTGTGGATCTAACTGATGGAAATCCTAGGTTCGAGGCTCAACTCACAGCTGTCAAAGAACGATTAGAAGCTGCCAAGGTCGGCACACGAGGCCTTGGCAACGCTTCAAGTTTCAGTCTGCAAGGCTCCCGTATCGCCAAGCCACTACGAGGCGGTGGAGGGGGTGATGCGAACGGCTCGGTCCCTGTACTCTCAGGAGTTCAAGGCTCAGCGGCCCAGCAAGAAACCCAACAGCCCAAAAGATCGTCATGGTTTTTTGACAGGAAATGATTGAAATGCGAGATTGTTGCGAGACAGATAGATGGAAATGAAAGTTCTATGAGGAATCTTGTTTTTGATAGCGCTGAAGGGTTTCGGTGACGACGGTGATGATGATGCATGATGTTTTCCTTCCACTTGACTTTTCTATTACTTTTATTGGTGGTGTGGGATTGGGGTCGGAGGGGTTAGGGTTTGAATGCGGTCATGTCCCAAGGAGTAGGTAGATTCATTGTTTGTTTTTCTTATTACTATTTCCCCGGTCCTTTTGTTGCAACTCCGGTCAAGATTTGATAAACCATTCATGTAGGATTCGTGTACAGTGCGGACGATACCTCTGCTGCATCTAGCTCTAGAATATTTCGCTCTGAAATGAAGCAGTATTTTATCGGAGTTGTAGGAGAATGTATACTGAACATTAAAACGCGGTATGAATCACTACATGTAAGTAGAAAGTCGCCTTTAGTTCTTCTAGAGTCTATGCAGACCCAGTCTGTCTCGTTTCGTTTTTTCGGGGTTGGGTGTGTCCCCTCCTTTAGGATTGTAGGTACAGTACCTGGAATGGCTATGGGTAAAATAATAAATGTCTGCACTATCATAAAACCTGTCAAATGTAAATCTACTATTGACTTTGGATGGAGTAGGTACATGTATCTAACTGGCTCCTGATAGAGTAGGAGCATTTTACGTGGTTGATTCGGTAGAACCGGGTAATAAGCAAGGGGGTACATAAGGGGGTGGATGGAAGGTGCCGTGACTCAAGCGAACAAAAGCTTCTTTCTTTCTTTTTTCTTTGTGTAGCGGAGGGCTGACGACAAAGTCTCTAATTGGCTCAAGCTAGTCTTACGTATTTATCGTATCCTTGGTACTTAACCCTACCATAGTGGTGATTGACGCACTGTGAGCCGCAAGTGCCAAGTGCCATGTCTACATGTATCTACTGTAGCTGTACCTCCTACATGTGTATCCCCGGTTCCAACGCTACACTCCCTTTCCTTTTGGTTGAAACGTTCTTCATACCTACTCTATTTTATCAACAGCCTTTTATTATTATCTGGGTAACGCATGCTGCGTTATCAACCCATCAAGTCAGCCAACCAGAGGATATCTATCGCGGTCGAAGGAATTCCAGCCATCAGTAACTGCTGTCCGTATCAATTCCCGCCATCGAGTAACCTACTCTACTGTCCTTGCATAGCTCAAGCAGGCTTGAAGTCACATCACGGGTATCCTCCTCGCATATAAATAGATTCAATTGGGTATTTAGGTACTATTGTTGCTCTTTGTAGATAGCCCCGTCTTACACTGATTGGGCTCTACAAAATCCACTTGTCTACCAAAACAAGTAACCAATCCAGCTTCATTCGTCCTTGAGTATTTACATCTATCATCTCTCTAATCGAATCTGAAAGGAGTCATTCGACATATCTCCCACACCACCCCCAACAGTTCGACCTCAACATCAACCATCATCCAATCAATCCAACCTCATTTCCTATCCTACACTCCAAAGCATAATTCATTTAGCGAGTACTGCACCCGCATCATCTTCCCCCACCTCCCAGCCCCACCAACCTCATTCCTCGTTCCCACCCACCCCCGTTCATTCGTGTCTGAGCGCTACATACAGCCAGCTATCCTCTCACGTTTTAATTATATTTTTTTCCGCTGCCAGCGTAAGCTGTACGGTTCTACTATTATCTTGTCACCACCCCCATCATGGCAACGGCATTTCCTCCAACGCCAGTCGCGTCTCCTAAGATGTCCAACACTGGTAGCCTTGTTGGTAGTCCGGAATCTTTTGTTTCCACCACTGTGACAGGGAACTTAGCTAGTATTCCTAGTACACCCGAGTCCATGACGATATCGCCTGTCTTAACAACACATGATGAATTGTGCTCTCTTACCACTCACTCGGACACTACCCTCTTCTCCTCCTCTGCCACTATTGCCATCGCCACGCCTTCTTCCTGTACCTCCTCCTCCCACCATGTTTTCCAATCTTCGTCCAGGCACCCATCGGTTCCCCACGAACCCCAGACGAACTTTAATTCCTTGCCTCCTTCCGTTCAGTTGCAGATTTTCGAATTTGCTCTCCATGATGGAGGCTACGCGAATCTGACACCTGATCTGATCGATCACAGCGATCCACGATTCATAAACCACAATTTCTACACCCTGCTTTACAGGCATATGACTTTGCGAATACTTCTACGCGTTAACAGGTTTATCCGCGCGTTATTCGAGCCTAAGCTCACTGATCCGACGGTGGTCACTAGTATGGCCCAGTTGAACGCGCTTAGCGGGTATTCTTACCCTGAACAGGACCAGAAAAGAAAAGGCCGACAAAACCCGTCTTTCCATACTGGTGATTTCAACCTTTACGACAGCCAGACCAATATCCCATGTCACGTAAAGCGAAAAAAGGTCGGGAATGGTTCAGGGAAGAGGGCCCGGAATCTGGTGCTGATAATTGCAAATCTACCTGGTATGCTTGACGCAAATGTAGGACCGCCGAGATTTCCTGAATGGTACATCCAGGACTGGATGCGGTACGACTTAGAGGCTCTAGGGGTAGAAACACTAACCGTTCTTGCACCCTCGAAAGGTAACTGAACCATCTTTTCTTTTGTTAGTTTCGTTGGAAGTGCACCTATGTTGATGCAGTCCTCGGACGACAACAGCAACCGCCGCCAATGTTCTACACTCAACTCTCCCGAATCATGATACCATAAAACATCTACATATGGAAGTAGCTACTGGAGAACCATTTTTTGCTCCTGATGTGAGATTCTATAATCACTATACCCATGATCCTTCAACAGATCACATATGCCCCCGGCTCTCCCTGCATAGCGAGCGGCTGGAGACACTCACTATACGCAACATGCATGTTTGTCGGCACCTCTTTGAGCACCAGGAGTGGCCAAAGCTCCTATCACTCAATGTAAGCTTCCATAACGGGAATCGAGGTCTGTGTTGTAGCGATGGAGCAATGCATCAACCATGGTTCGCCGAAAACGAGGTCAACATGACATGCGAAAGCCTCTGGAGGCTCTGTCAGGCAAAGCCCGATTTGGTTGTCCGGTTCCATGCGTGGTTCGACGTGTTCACTAGGACACAGGGTGAGATAGATTACTCCTGGTGTACAACCAATGGTCCATTGATCAGTAGGATTGTTCCAAATGGGAACCTCCATGGCGCGTCGATGGAATGGTGGAAGGTCCTTACCGATGGAACGGACCGTTTCCACACTCCCAGCCCTTCGCTATCTATGACGACACGCTTCATGAACGATAGCGAAGAGGTCGAAGACGGGAGTGATTTTGAAGACGATGTGGATATAGAAAACAACCAAGAGGACTATCACTATCAGGACGACAGCGACGGGTACTTTGATCTAGAAAGTTCCGTGGATGCTACTGGAATTGCTATCTCGAATGGAGCAGCGGTTCCAAGACATAGTGACACAGCAGTGGTGACAGCGCCTCTCTTCACCCTTTTACCAAAAAAACCGAGGCAAATGAAGATATTGTAATTCTTTCTCTTTCCTACATCAACCTTTTTTTTTTTTTTTTTTTTTTTGGACTGGTTTGTTTTTTGTAAAATGGCGTCGGTAGGTGGCCGCGGAATGGTGGACAGGCGTTTGATATTGAAACGAAAAAGTTTGCTTTTTGGAAAGACCCTTGAAAAGGGCTATGACTGCTTTTCCCCCTGAAATTATCAGTGCGAATGATTTTTTCTCTTATCTCAATTTCGTCCTCTCCATTTCTTTCCTCTCTTCTATTGCTCCTGCATCTTTTATTCTGTATTTTGTGGCCTGTGGAAAATATATCCAGCCATTGGTGTAAATCATTTCAGATATAGCACGAATTTTCTGGAATATGATAGATACATATCTGGGTGATTTCATTTGGTCGCATACCGGTGCAAAGTGTTCTACAGCGATGGTCGACGTGGACATACCTTTCCGGCCATCTTCCAGACAAAAAACGATGTATTAGGTGTATACATATTGAGTTTTAGATAGCTTTGGCAGCGGCATTGGTACTACATGTACCCGAAATCCTACTAATCTACTCCCTCGATGAAAAATAAACGAAACTGGGACTTGCAAATTGCCTACGGAATGTCCGTTTTGAAATTTCCACCTGGTTTTTTTTTGATGGGCCAGACACATTTGGCACGAGGCGCCATATCTCTATGGACTCGGCTAGCTTGTCATTGATGTGGCTTTGTTTCAAAGAGATTCTGCGTCTTACCTGCAACCTTAAATATCAGAGAAGTGGATTTTAGGTTTAGCACAAGACCACCCTTGCTTATACATCCTTGACTACATGTATGCATTGGCGGTTGGCAGCATGTCCCCATCACTCTGTCGAGTGCAAATCCATGATTCTAGCTCTTTGCCACTAAATCACTCCTGGTCACATAGTTGATCATCGGCAACAAGGAAAATATCATTTTTATACAAAGAGAGCATCCCTATATTACAACATCATAACACGATGTTTGCGTCAGGGGGAATATTGCAGTCAGCATCAGCAGCCTATCGGCCTTTCCACACCAATGAACCAAGGGAGTGAAGAAGGGAAGGAGCTTTCGCCAAATCTCGGATATGTGAGTAATTAACATTCAAAGCGCCCCTTCTTTACCTCTTCTCGACGTTGGTGAAGTCAATTCCGTACTTCTCGGTCAATCGAGCGCGCCTCCGGTCTTCATAGCCGGCAGGGTAGATTCCTAGTTGATGCTTCGTTACACTTTGAGGCCCCTCAAGTTGACCAATGAGCAGGGAATCTAGTTACCTCGCCCCTCACCAAGTACTTCGACAGTCTCATCCACTGGCCGTCTACGACCAGCCCTGAGCATCTCTTTTCTGGTTACCTCATCCATATTCATATCTTTGAACAGCCCGGTCAGGGAGCCACCGGTGTAGTCAAATGCACCAAGGATAAGCGCGAGCCCCGCACCGTATCCGATGACAGCAGGCATGGTGCGGACTGACATTGGCGTGAGTGACTAGAACATCGCGTAACCAATGAAAATGGAAGGGAGGTTACATACACTTGGTTCCCATAATACTACCAGCAACAAGACCTCCGAGTGCGGAGTTCAAGTAATCATCCGTCTCTCGCAGGTTCGCCGCGGCGTTACGGAAAAACATGTAAGAACCACCCATGGCCGCTACAGATATTAATATTATCCTCATGAAGCTCGAATGGGGGAGGAGGTTGGTGATAGGAGAGCACCAAGTTGACTTGAGAAGACTTACCGGCAATCCCCACGGTGCCTCCGGTCTTTGTGATGACACCCCAGGCGCCGACGTTCTGCTTCGTGAGTGTGTTCTGGATAGCGCTCATGAATAGGCCCGCTCCGCCAAAAATCAGCGTCCCCTTGGTGGCTAGACCAATTGCGTCCTTGCGCTTGAACTGGCGTGATTCCGATGGTGCCATTGTTCGTTTAAGAGTGAATTTTGGGGTGGTGGAGGTTCCGAGGTGGGGTGGGTTAGGTTACCTGCAGCCAGACGGAGGGGCAGCAATTAGTCCTGTGTTTGAAAAACCTGAGACAAGGTATCAAAATAGACAGAGAACAAGGGGAGCAAACTCACTGGATTATACCGCAGTAGCGATTGGAATGTACCGCTTGTGGACAATCTCGGTGTTGGTGATGAGCCCGGGATAATTGATAGAGGTCAATATCTATGGGAGCTGTGGCCGATGTCGTTGTAGCCGTCCAATCATCTGGCCCGCTGACTAATCCGGAAACTAATGATGTGAATGTATTTGAAACTGCGCTACTCCACATGCACTTAGACTTACCTGCTGTGGATTTAACTAATAAAATAAATTTCAGACTTGAATCTCAACCGTCTTTAGGTTTTTTTATTACAGTTACGAGGGGGTCATTATTCATTGCTACAATTGTAGCTACGCCGGGTCTGTTATTCTGCAAAAATCAGACACTTTCCCATTAAAGATAGGTAATGGTGACCGGGAGGTGTGTTTACTTAATTCTATTCAACGAAAGATACGTTTTTGCTTTAGATAGCGCGTATTGATAACTGGGTAAAGGTAGGGTAAAGGTCAGGATTTTAGAGGTCATTTGGGTTATAACCCTAAGCCTATTCAAATATTGGCCAAAGTGTGAATCGTAAACTATAATTACACCTTTGATTTCTTATAAAAGGCCAGGGTCTAGATCGATTGATCTTTTCACCTATACTAACCTATCAGATCGAGAGCTGCGGTTTTTTTTATGAAGAAGATAATAATTTGAAGGTAGGTTTTGAATTAAGATACAGGTTATAATGTATGTATTATGCCATATAAACGAACAGCCAAATACCGAAACATTATCAGACTTGATATTCCGTTGCTCTAGTCACTCCCACCGCTTATAATACGGAATATAACTATATGCCTATATCTAATGCCTTTCATGTATCCAGAACGTAGGCTCACAATAGCCTTCTGAATACAATAAGGTTCAAATAAGTGTTATTTAAGCATGTTTTAAGGATGAAATAAGGCTTAAAAAGGCTATTGTGAGCCTACGTTCCGGATAAACCTATCCGATAAGCCTTATAATTCTATGCGGTTCGACGGTAAGATAGATTTGATAGACATCCTGCGCAACCTCATACCGAATCTCACAATAGCTCCCAATTGGCAACGATGACAACAGACAGTTAGCTTAACAAAATTACAACGCCTTGCCTGTGTGAGACCATGTCGCTGTAGGCTGTTATATACCCTTCACTTAGCCAAAGGCCCTCATCTGGCAGCTATGATGGGGGACTCAGGTTGTAACCTGTTTATACACCTCTTGGATTGGGGTAGGTATGTACCCACCAATGATACAATTATTGAATTATCAATCAATCAATCAATTACCCATCAATGATCCATTGTTTGAGCGAGGGGCGATGTCTAAGTGAAGGGTACAACTTGCGTGTTCTGACCACTTTCTTTCTATCTTTAGATGTCTTGTCCAAGTTGTCTAAGCTGTCCTCCGCGGGTAAGTACATGTATGTTTTGTGGTGCTGTACTCGACACTTCATATATGTAATGAATAAATTCTCAAACGTATGCGTTACAAATAGTACATTAAAGGAGAGTGTGATTGCTACGAAATCTATCACATAAAATAGGGTGTACATCTCATTCATTTCAATTCATACGTCAATACCTCTATGATAATACTAAGGTCCCCATAAAGCGAGAAAATCTACACAGAAAAAGTTCAAACCGATAACGGGCAAATCCAGGGAAGTACACAAAGCACTCGAAATTGAGCCAAAGTTAAAATCAACAGGTATCCCCTTCATTCAAGCAGGAGATTACTCAAAGAACCCCAGCAAGCGTACAAGTAAGTGGGACTGACGGCAATTATAAAACAAGAATACACAACAAAGTCCAACTTCCCTTACAAAAATTTCTATTCTTCAAACTACCCCCTCGTCAGTCACATTTAATCAATCTTGATACTTCCGTAAATCTTCCTCACGAAAAACCAGCTTGAGAAGAAGCCAATTGATCCTGTGAGTATAAAGAACAGGAAGCCGATCAACGCGCTGTATCCTAGGTACAACACGTTGCTAGTGAAACCGCCCAAGCTCAACTTTGATATCCAGTACAGGATAGCATTTAGGAAAATGTAGATCGCACTTGCACCGGCAGTGAAGAATGATCTCCATTGCCAGTGGTAGTTCTCCGAGCACAGTAAGAAGTAGATGAGCAGGATTGTGACTGTGGAGCAAGTAATAATCTATTTCCGTTGTTATTAGGATATGTCAGGAAATAATACTGTATGAAGGGTCACAAACCATGATTCCATAGCAAATGAATAGGAATCCAAACATGTAATAGACTTTATGAAACCAGATCGAATTCATGATGAAGTATAGCTCAACAAAGATGGCTCCAAATGGCAGAATTCCCACTAAAAGCATGCTGGGAATCGGCTTTAAGTATGTGGATTGCTGTGGGATCTGTCGTGGAATCTGATTGGTACGGACAGGAGGTTGGAATGCCTGGTGCAAGAATACATCAGCTCATAAACTCTATTGGAGGACGGGAACCTTGGACCCACAGGAGCTCTGAATCCAACCCAACTTCCGCCGAAACTTAATGGTACACTAAGGATGAACCAAATACCGACCAGCACCAACATGGTGGTCAAGGGTACGGCCCCGGAAGAGTTTTCAAAGATCAAGAAAAAGTTGAGGAGGAAAAATGTGCCAAATACAATCCCGGGGATGAACACGGGGGTAAGTATGATGTTGCGCTTCCACGCTTCGCCGCCAAACGACTTGTAAGTCCGGGCGGAGATATAACCGCCGATGAAACCGAAAAGCGTATATAGAAGAATCATAACTGTCCCCAAGGACCCACGATTGGATGGCGACAAAAATCCAAGAAGCGCAAAAACAATAGTCGCTCCAGTCATGAAAAATAGCTGTGCACCAGATCCCAAGAATATCGAAAGAAGCATGGGATTCTTCGGGGGACGGAAGACATCTCCGTGAACCAATTTCCACCCAGAATCATCTTGTACGTCCTCATTCAAGTCCAATTGATTGTAACGAGCGATGTCCTTGCGCAAAGCTCTTAAAAGAACCATTCCTACCATTCCGGTAAGAAAAATGACGATAATGGCAGAATTGACAAGTGAAAACCAATGAATACGAGGGTCAAAGACATGAAGATATTTGTCCCATCTTGTGGCCCAAGCAGTGGGTGAATGCCTCCAGTATACAGTATAAGTGAATAAAACCTCTGTTTCCTGGTCCTGTGACAGAACCACAGGCGAGAGATCAGAGCAGTCTGCGCCAAAGTCACCAGCGCCTTCCCGAAGCTTAGAATTCCGGGACGAGGGCTGGACAACAACACCCACAACACGGTACTTCTTAGTCGAGCGTGAGGCCAGTTCGTGGTAGTCGATGAAGATGTCGTAGTGATTGTTAAACTCAGCGATAGGATTGTCAGACTTGGGGTTCTTGATATCACCCAGCGGGAAACCTTGAGAATAGAACTCAACATTCTCCACCTCATCCCTATTCAAAGTGGCTGCTGGCAATCCGTCTATCAGCCAATTGATATTATAATTTTGCCAGATCCGCCTATTGACAAATTTTGCTTTCCGCGGATCAAATTTTTTAACCTCGCAAAGTGGTTTACAAGTTTCGTTCTTGGCCATCTTAATATCGAAAGGCGAATCAAGAATACGGTCCCCAAACAGGATGGACCCAAGCGACTCGGAAACCTTCTTGGGACCATTTGGGGGTCTGCAGAAGTTGAAAGCGGTATGGTAGTAGTCGTAAGAGATGACGGATCGGAGCTGCTGATCAGACTGTGAGAGAGTTGGCGTAAGACGGTTGACGTTTAGGGGAACCGTGCTTCCTTCGGTGTAGTCTGTAGGAGCGACTCCTGGGAGGTAAAATGCTGCAGAGAGTGATGAAAACAGGGACACTGCCCCGATCACTGGTATCAAGGGGTTTGGTAGAAACATTGTTGTGGCTATTATACCAGAGCCTCACTGGAGTGTCGGTGATGGTGTTGTGGTGGGGGTAGGTAAGCTAATGCCCAGGCCACGAGGTGCTAAGGACACGAGCACAGCTAGGACGCAGGAGAATGAATGCTAGTAAGTGGATAGAAAATGATGAACGCACTTCCTTACATAGACTTGTATCCCCGGGACGGTGATGTGAGCTATGTAATTATAGTACGATACTGTATTGAACCAGGCTTTGGTGTTGAATGCTCCCAGCTTTCCGAATTCGTAATTAGATGAGGCTGAGAACGAGCTCCTTGCCAAGAATCCTTCTTTGCAGACATCATTGGTGTTACTCGCAGCAGGTAACAAGTACCCGAAAATGTACGTCCTAATCTGCAATTTCCATTGGATTAGAAGTCAAAAATACACCAAAAACTTGCAGCTGGATATTCGGGTACTTCATGCCTGTCGCGAGTACATATGCGCTAGTAAACTACAGATGGCTGACTCAATATCTTGGCACAGTTATGGAATGCTAGTCTCGTACCGAACCCTACTCTACACGTAGTCTCGTACCCATCCCGTACCCAAGCTGCGAGCGCAGGAAGTATATGCATGTCTACCTACTTTATCATTGACTAACAAACTAAATTTTGAAAGAATAGGATGGCGTGCAGTAACTCAAAGTCAGCAGAACAGCTGAAAGACTTTAATTATTTTCCCGCCATTCTAAGCAAGCGGAGCTCAACTATCTACGATAAAATTCACATTAAATACCAGCGAGGTACCAATCCTTCCGAGAGCACCTATCAAAAAAACAAAAAGAGGAAAAAGGAGTTGAGGAAGGCTGCAAGGGATTGCAAAGTGTTGACTGCAAACGGAAGCCTTGTGGAGCATGGTAGGAATGGTAGAAACACCGTTAAAAGAGGTGAAGTGCTGAGTCTCAAGAAGTAACCTCATATCTGTAAGAGGTTTTGGCTTGGGTGTTTATATACATGTATACCAAATCTAGCGTAGCTCTCAATCTTCATCTGGGTCATATAAATCGAGGCTCAAGGAGAGTCCCGGAGGAGGTTGCGTTTCCTTCGGTCTTTCGTGATGTTGAGATTGTACTGCCACTGTCTCTACTCTAGTTGGAGCATCTCTTGGAGGTTCCACATTTGTGCTCGCGGTCTGTCCGTTGACGGTTGGGTTCGAAAAGAAATCCGGAATAGGCAGGCCCTTCGCGCGCAATTCCTCCTCATACCCCATATGAGAAAGGGCCCCACGCTTCATGACTTCTTCACTTGGCCAAGGTGTGAATGGCATCTGGGAGGATGGATCCAGAGCAGTAACATCTTCTTCCGAAAGACCAAGAGGGAGAGCGCGAGTGGCTTGTGAGTCTGCGTGTCCTGTGTCTCCGTTGCTGTTGTTATTCATGGAGCTATTTGAGTTATCGGCGGATCCAGATGCATGGTCTGCTGATGCCGTTTGCGTGTATCTTGATGACTGCGGGGGACGTGTATATTTCGAGATTTTGCGAGCATATGTCAGGAGTTCATCGTAAGGCACCTCTTACTATGGGGTTAGAGATTTTATTTGTAGGAGCCAAGAAGAAATAAATGTCAAATACCATTGGATTGTGGGAATTTGGTCATGGGCACATTGAGAACCTCCTTCCGTGCTTCTGATAGAGTCTCAAGAAGCTCTGTGAGCTGCTTATTCAGTGTTTCTGAGGTCGCCCGAAGAGATAAAATTCTTTGGTGATTCTGCTGGTGTTCATCCACTGAACAGCGGACGTTAGCCAACGGAACCGATACTAGTCCAGTTCAGTGCGATGTGCGACGTACACTGTTCAAGGCTCTCGGTCAGAGTATCATCGGCGTTTACAACAGCTATAGCAGCTGGGGAAGACGGGTTGTACGATGACACGGATTCAACCAAACTCTCCAGGGATGTTTCAAGACTATCAAATGACCTTTGAACAATGGCGTTCATAACTTGTGGGTTCGGCGGTTCAGGTGTATCCGGGAGATTTTCTTGCTGAGCGTTGATAACGACAAAGGCTGTTGGGGGGGGGGGGGGGTTTGGGAACACTATCATTTAGTCAGCAGTAGACGGTTAGTATGTACTTGAAATTGGGCGGCATGTCCCATGTGGGGAACCCAATACCTGCACCCAGATACTACATGTGTACTTAGTACGTACGCATAGAATTGGGTAGATTATTATTTCGGTACAATACACATAGTAATTACACAGAGCCACTCTTCAAGGGATACAACATCTATATCACGTGTAGGTCCTCTTACATTCAAATACAGGAGATCTGCGGTCGTAATTCTAGATGTCGCAGGGCTGAGCAATTAACAGTTACGGCAGAAAGGTTGGATCCAATAAACTTCTTGGCTAATTTCAGCGTCCCATACAAAGCGTCTACCGTTAATGTGATAGTCTGGCCTTAGCTATGCCTCATCCTCTACCACAAGAGGAACTTGTATTGATGTGAATGATCGTAAAAGATCAAGATGAGCAGAGGGAAGTGAGGTAGCCCATCGAGTACAATAAACTGGCTACGTGCGTAATGAGCGTATTTATACGAGCCTTCTCTATGACCGCTCTCAGATATACATGTGGTGTAAGTGGTAGAAGCAGTGGCTTGTAGGGAGGAGAGCATGGTAGTGTGATGAACGCGGTGACGGCGGCGGAATTGCCGTTACCACCATTCAATTACCCCTCCCCCTCACCCATCACTAACTCCCTCCTGTACCCCAGTCTCCCACACACCACTCTCTTCCTTAAACCACCTCCATCCGCCATTACCACATCTAAAACTTGCACCTTCCCTCTTCCAATACCCCTCTATCGCCTCTGTCTCCCTGCGCTTATCTGTATCCAACAACAGTACCTGGCTCCCCTTTGCTTGTGAAGAAATTACGAAAGAACATCTTCATCCTCTCCTCGAATCCTCCAACATTCATCGGTAAAGGTTTTCAGTTCAGTTTCATAAAGTCACCGCTCACCACCCATCTCATTCTATCTGCCGTTCTTCTAAGCCTATAGCTGGTACCATACACCGCCTTATTTCGGCATGGGTAAAACGTGTGTTGCTAGAATTTTCTACCTCTCTGTAACTCCACAATGAATTCCGCGATAGGAACTCTTGAAGCCATGACTGATACTTTTGTTCATACGTAGTCAGTCTAAGCTTACGCAAGAGCAGCTTGCAGAGCTTCAAAAGGCGACATTATTCGAGCGAAAGGAGCTTCAACAGTGGTACAAGGGTACGTTTTGGCAATCACACAACGAGAAAGCGAACACATTATAACTTGTGCTCGCGCATCTCATGTCCCACATCTCTTTTCAACTCTACCCTACCTTCTTAAGTGCGGAAAGACATGAATTCGATCGAGTTTCTGCTAACTAATAATTTCCCTACTATAGGATTTCTCAAAGACTGTCCGTCCGGCTCCCTGAACAAATCGGAGTTCCAGAAGATTTACAAGCAGTTTTTCCCATTTGGAGATCCTACGACATTTGCAGACTATGTTTTCAATGTCTTTGATGCCGATCGTTCCGGCACGATAGATTTTAAAGAATTTATTGTCGCTTTGAGTGTTACTTCACGCGGTTCACTGGAAGATAAGCTCAATTGGGCATTCCAGCTTTATGACATCGATGGCGACGGCGAGATCAGTTACGAAGAAATGCTACAAATTGTTGAGGCCATTTACAAAATGGTATGCATGCTTGATACGCCCTCGCTCATTGGCAAAAACTAAATCTCTCTTCGCGGGATCTAGGTTGGCTCCATGGTGAAACTTCCGGAGGATGAGGATACACCTCAAAAGAGAGTCGCCAAGATATTCAAGATGATGGACAAAGACGAGGTTGGCTTTCTTTAAAAAGCCCCGGTCATAAGAAACACACTAATCCCATTATCTAGAACGGGAGCCTGACCTTAGATGAATTCCGTGAGGGAAGCCAAAAGGACGCCACAATTGTCTCAGCACTATCTCTCTACGATGGATTGGTTTAATTACCTCTCATCATTTTCTTCTCAGCTCCCCTCTTTTCAGTTTCTTATGTTCGTTATACCGCGAAACAGTTTTAAGAGGTGCGAGAGGTGTATCAGTAAGACCTGTGGCTCTGGCTTTGGAAACCTTTATTCAAGACGAACAATTTCAGCAAGTGGCTGATAAAGAATGAAATATTGAGGGTTCAATAAAGTGGGTGGGCAAGATCGTACGCGCAGCATCGAGGGCATCTTTTTTCTTCCACTTATTCGTCGATATTTCTATTATCCACGGCTTTTAACTTCCCTGAAGGTCAGTGCACGGAGTCGTAGGTGTTTCTCGTTTTCTACATTTCACCAGGAAAATTGTATTCCTAATGGGGGCTGATGGGTTCATTTTCATGTTTTCATATCATTACCACACTCTTCCTTTTCGAATTTTCCTTTTTTTTTTTTTGGAAAACTTTTATTCGCTACTCTAAACTTTGACTATCAGCCACTTATTCTCCTAAGCTTGCATTTTTGATAATAGAAGCTTCACTCAAGGTTCATTTCCGATTGGCCCTTGTGAGTTGCAACTTCACCCGTTATGGACTAGCAACACGACGAGTGATAAATGGTGAAGAAAGCTCTAGCTACATGTAGCGTCACTTAAACTACCAAAGCAGCTTCCATCATTGACTGATATAAAGTCAAAGACCCAAGTGATACGTTAAAGAATACCGAGCTTTACCTTTTTATTCGCGAATCAAAATACGTTTCTAGTGATTAGCGGAATGGTAGGTCACAAGGTAACTGCACATGTGTAATATAAGCTTTTGATCCTCCAATCGCAGTGAGGAGCGAACATTATCATTGAGGTATCGGGAACTCGCGTGATTGAAGTAAGCTTCCGAGCGAAGCACGCGTTCGTAGTCCCCAGATCTAAAATCGAGATCCCCAGTTTTTATGCATTAGTAAACAAGAAAACCACATTAGTTGCTGCATCCAATGCCTATTTTCTGAGAACAAGACATACTCAATCCATCACTGGTTCATATAGTAATAAAGTAATGGAATATGCCTTTTTAACCAATTTAGATTGAACAGGTTGGAAGGCCCATGTACATGTGTGGTATTGGGAGCACAAATGGACCAAGCTAGGCATGAGCTCCGAGAAAAATATTTAACCCCAGTATGTGGCGCGGATGGTTCCAATATCCTTCCTTTCACAAGCATAGGAATTCTCTACCGTTACTTGGGTGGCAGGCTTCCCGAGGCATCGACCTTGAGTTCATACATGAGATCTTTTGATAAAACATAAATATACATGGATTGGTAGTCTATTGTTGCGTGCCAGTACTCTAGGTAGTGTGGCATTAACTTATTCGACACGCAGAGCCCATGAGAACCTGTTTCCCAAATATGTATGACACAACAATGTCGTGGGTGACAAGTCATAAGTGATGGGTGGTGGGAGGGGTAAGGTTAGGGTACTAATAGAGTACCCACGCATTTCAATTATCATAACACTTAATCCGCTAGGTGATGCCCGTTTCTCAGCGCATGTAGCATGTACAGCCTCAGGTAGAATTATTGTGGAAAACAGGGACAACGATCACGCCGAGAACAGAGCGATTCTCCAACGCCACATTTCCGCAATAATTCTACCTGAGGCTGTAGCTGCATCATAGCCCCAGGATTTCCCCGTATCGTTCCTGTCCCAAACTCCCAGAATATGCAACTAAAACATGTATGCAGACGCAAGGATAGGGCGGCGTTGACAGTTTTCTGGAAACATGGTCGTTTGAACGGATCTAGAGTGGAATAGAGCATAGGTAGGGTACATACTGCTGTACGTCAGGGACCACACTGTGCACACGGTGGGAAGGTCGATCATTTGTACTCGTTTACCACGAAAAGAACCAGAAAATGTAAGTGACAGAGACAGGGATAATTTGTATGAGAGATCACCGCCACTCCATACAAATAATCCTTGCTCTGAGCAACTGTATTTTCTGGTTCTTTCCGTGGTAAACGAGTACGTAGCAGCTCAGCATCCGCCGCGGACAGGTTCACTTCACAGCCCAGAGTTATTGTGTAGGGTGTGTGAAGATAAATACTTACATCTACTCACACATACACAGCTGCCTAAACAAGAATTTTAAACACCACTCAAGTACCTACAATTGTGTGAGATTGATAAAAGGGATTACTGGAAATGTGTAGGTATGTACTATTGAGTTGTAGGGTACTATGGCTCCTTTGGTAAGTGTGAATGTAAGCCGGAGTGAAAAAGCAAACAAATGCCATCCAACGAAGCATATCCTTGAAATTTACCGACTCTCGACACAGGAGGATATACACGTATTTATGTGCACGTAGAGCAAACACTGACTGCCAACTCATAATTCACGTATCTCCCGATGTCGACTGTAACCAAAGCAAGCAAACCCCTACCAACACCACTATTTTTTTCCCCCATGGCTGCTTCCCAGGAGAGCCGAGACGAGGAGAAAAGGTGCGGCATCAATAATCGAGAAACGGAAAAGAAAGGATTGTCATAAAAGAGGGAAAATGCGCTGGCTGTTCTTAGCGACACCTCTTGAACGGACGGCACTGGCGTTCGTTCCCCACGACCTGCTCTCGTGCAACACATACTCAAATATCTGTACCTGAACTCCCTCGGTGGTCCGATCGTCGTCAACATCTCTCGTCACGATCCCTCCTCCAAAACCACGAAGGGTGATACGGCGTAGAAGCAAAAGAAGAGTTGTGAAAGACGGTGGTGAATAGGTGGATGAGAATAGACCGAGCACACGAAGAGGTCTGAGAACATTTACGCTCAACAATATCTTGTTCTCCCTCTTTCTCTCTTTACCTGCCATGAACCGCCCAACATCATTCGGATTCTCAAATCAAATGGAACGCAAGCCGGACCTCAACCAACATCGTCAGCATCATCAACCCCCAAGAACACCAAGTTATACCCTCCCATACCCATCGCCGCACCAACATGTATCGCCCACAAAGCATCTGCCACACCCTCCATCCTCTTCGAGCACACCGCCAGGTAACGATACATCTCCAATCCACTACGCCCCTTCGTCGCCACATTCTTACGGCCAAGGTCCACCCTCGCTGAGTACATCCTCTATCTCAAGCTCCTCATACGCTGGGAGTGCCGACGGTGAAAGTACCGATGATACCGAGATTGACCTGGTCGCCCTTCTGACTGAGCGATTAGCGGGTGCATTTGACCCGTTGCAATTAGATCGCAGCTTAGCTGTTCAAGCTCAAACGTGAATACTCTACTTAAAATATTCTATCTCATCAAGTGGCTGAACTTCCGTTTCTAGTTCGGGAATGCTTAATAGTAAAACGCGGGAACTTATTGCACTTCAAGAGGAAGCCCAGGCGCGGTTAGCAGAAACCAAACGGGCATTCTTGGATGGCATGAAGATTGCGAAGGAAGTTAAGTCGGATCTTGATTATGTTCACCGAAAAGTCAAGTACGCTGAATCCCGGTGTCTCTGCTCTAACCCGCTTTTATCACTTGCTAAAAATCCTACAATTAGGGTTCTGAAACAGAAAACAGAGCGGAAGTAAGTTTCCCAAACGCAATCATGCGAGTAATACTGAACGGGTTTATACAGATATCCCGTTGAATACAACATGGCACGTGATCGCATACCGCCCCCATCCCAATAACAGCTCCACCATTATGTGTAGTCAATTAGAGGGTAACAAAGGGGAATGGCGCACAAGGGAGTTCCTTCCAATCCACTCTGTTTTCAAGTACTTTTCTTTGTTCTGGATTTCAGCTTTTCAATGTTTCTTTTCTTTCCGGTGTCGGGCGTACGGAGCAAGCATTTCTGTCTTTTAATCGCATAGGTTATAGAAGTATCTGGAGTCAATGAACAGAAAATCAGGATGCGAGTACCAGGGATTGTATGGTCGTTTTTCCGACTTATGTAAAATATTCTTACGCCTATGAGGGAATGTTGCCCCTGAGCATGATATTACTTTTATCAGTGGTTGTACTCACTTCATCAGAGTTAAATTTCTGCTTACTTGCTAATAAGGTGCTGACCTAGCTCTGTTTTCAATAGGAATGGTTGGCAGCAATAGTAGGTATTGCATACTAACGTCACTCTAGGGTAGGTATTATAATTAGGTGCTACAAATATTGCTCTAATATCGCCTTGAAAGGCTATAGTCTATATAAACCTATTCTGAGAGTTATCTATTTCCTGCCTGGGGTGATCAGGCCTAAAATGTCGAGAGTTCAATGTAATTTGTGTGCAACAAGTTAGACCACAATTATGTAAATATTCTGTTCTAATAGATTATTTGGGTCCAGCCTTGAAACCTAATTCTACGCTTAATTTGAGTTCTAGGTGGGCGTAGAGCTAATAGAACTAGAATGGTGCAGGGTAAACAAGTAATGCAGGTATGATGTACTCTAGAGATAGAGGAGACTTGTAGAGGAAAGATCACTGGGTGGCCAATGCGTCGCATGCAGCTACCATGCTCAGTCGCGTATTTTCAGATCTGGTGGTCGAGGGTTCTGATTCGTTCAAGAAGGGATACAATGCTCCCAAGACCTTGACAAGCATCCAACGAATACTGTGTTTGAGTTTGCAAAGATTAAGCCATGAAATTTATCTAATTTGAACGATGCAAAAAGCTATAGGGGATGGAGGCCATCAACCTATTATTGTAGTAGTGTACCGTAAAAACTCGAATAATTCGTTGGCTCCGTGAGATCAAAGTTGCTTCTATTGGAAACCGCTGATGAAGCTCGATGCTACCCAACCAATTACTCAAGAGATAATTCCTGGGCGGAGATAACGTATTATTCGAGTTTTTTGCGGTATAGCGGATGGGTTTGTTTGTCCATTTTTGGTCCTAATAAATAAACTTACTCTATGTCAGTACTTGGACTACTGGAATTAGCTTTTCCCCACTCTGTACGTCAAGTGAGACATTTCTTCATATGTAACCGTGGCGGACAATCAAAACCCCCAATAGAAGACTTTCCTAGTGACCAATGGCGCCCGAAATCAATGATGAAGGTGATTAATGACCTACTTTCTTTTATATACAGTCACGAACTATATTATCTATTTTTCGTTGTTTTGAGTCTCAACATTAATAACATCAACTCCACGGGTGCGCCACACTGCGCACTGACATTAAAACTAAATCACGAACACTTTTGCAGAGTGGCTGTAGATATAGCTCCGTAAGAAAGAGTCCGTGAAGCAGTGGACTTCGAAATCACAGGCCCTCGGAACGATTATTCAAAGTCTTTACGAGTAGAATTAGCCGCTGTAGAATCAAGCGGGTCACAAGCAGCATTTCCGCCAAATCCCGCATTTTGGGTTCATGTAGAGTATATGCGGGTTGATATAACAAGGTTATCGCAGGGTGCTTTTACAGGAAGTAGATTTTGATACATTATGTAATGATTTACGTGCCAAGAGAGTTTCCTAAAAGCGATAGCACGACCCCCAGCCATCTCAACCTCAATCTCTGATACTCAACTCCCTAGCTAGATCCACAAACTCTCTCGATCGAGATGGAGGACGAAAATGATAATGATATCGAAACCAGCGCCCAATTGGAAGCTATGGGGTTTACATCTTTCGGCCAACAACCGAAGCGGCCCAAACATCGACACCATGGGCCTTCGGGACCTCCCGGATCCCCTCCAAGAGTCGAAATTCCAAAGGAAGCGGCTCCGGCGCCCCTGTCAGGTGATGATACGAGCGTCTGCGATGAGGCTGGAGGGTCAGAACAGCAACGACACAAAGCATCTCGTAGCTATGGGCAGGTGCGGTTCCCCCTCTTCCGTGACTACAGGTAGTATTAATCGTTTTTATAACATTGTCAATTTTTTTAGGGAGCTCGAGCTCGAGTATCCAGTAATTATGATGGCGACGTTAGTTCTGGATCTTCATCTGGAGCATTCTTTTCAAAGAGCTTCATAGAAAATCCATGGGAGAAATTAGAACAGAAGATGGGAATACCTGTAGGATTGAAGAGTTAATTCACATTGATAGCGAGAACATGGTAAAGGTTATATATAATTGGTCAAATTCCCCTGACCGGGTACACTGAGGAAATCGCAATGCTACATATAATATATGATGTCTGCTGGGTCTATACATACATGTAAGTGTGCTGGCCCTTCGCCCACGAAGCCTCGCCGCAGCTAAAGTAGACGTATATATGCCTAAAGAGTCCAAACTAGTATAACTACGTGCTGCTATTACTGTGTCCGGGCTTGTCCACGATGTGTTTAGGGCTAATCAGATATAAGTAGATATCTTTATAGACCACTAATATGAGACCTCAAGCGGTAACGGGGCCTCTTAAATCCTCTCACTGAAACTATTAGCGCAGGTTGCTGGGACTGTAATAGAGAGCGCCCAAAATTCTTCAGACTTACTATACGGGCGTGGTCCGGACAAACTATTATATAAGATGTTAACTGAGGCCAGGTACATACTATTGACTTATTCTCAGCTGCTTACAGCGAGCAGACTTTGTATCACTACTTCTCCCAGCGTGAGATGATCTTACTTTCGACGGAGTAACATGCATGATTGATATCCAGGGAGCGAGTGATATATTATGATTAGACTACTTTACATGTTGGATTCCGATTCCTTGTTGGGAAAGTACTCAAAGCAACGGCTGCGCAAGGGCTGAATCTTACCAAAATCCTTCGTTGTGTAACCCTATAAGATAATTATTTAATAGAGCGTTTAAGCTTACCTCTTTTTTTTGTCAAAAGAAAAAAGTATGCAGGCGGAGAGATACTAAAGCCGACGAAGTTATGATCGGACATAGGGTCAACAGGCCTAGGATATGGCTTCAATATTTCCTTTAAGACTCTAGTTTCGTCGGGATCCGTCGCCTGGCCGCATGTTTTGTCTTGATATTTTCTTTTTAGCAAAAAAGGTCGAGTGAGCTTAAACGCTCTAATAAATTATCTATGGATGAAAGTGGTCAAATTCATGGCCTGTACCGTGCGCCATTTAGTAAGGGAATCGCCTTGCTAACTACGGTTTATAACAACGGAGGTAATCAAAAATTAGTAATAGTTACTACAGAAGGCTACTAATAGGAGGCTGTCTTTCTGTGTTCTGCTTAGTCATCATCAACGGACTAAGCTGGAGCCTTTTTTGGTCCGGCGCTTGATTTGGCTCCAGTGGGAGGGACTATCAATGAGATTTCTCCTCCACCATTACGTTTGCTCATAGGATTATAAATTCCTGTCTAATTTAGATAATTTTGGGCGTTTTGAAAAGCTGGCCTCTTGCTCTACCATTCCCTGTGATCAAATATGCCCAAACCCGAATACTTGTACCTCGAATTCATTGTTGCAGTTGCGGAAGTAGAAGAAATAACCAGTGCATGGGCATAGGACAATATGAAGTGGAGAGGCCAACAGAGTAAAGTGAGAGCAATTAATTTGAATACATTGGAGGATAATATAACGTGAGTCTATAGGTAAGGGACTATGATGCCAAGGAATACAACCGAGACGAGAACGTAGTAGAAGATCTTCGTGACTATGGACTATGGGGCGGCTCTGTTTGATCGAACAACCAAACTGAACCTTATAACGTAGCGTAGAACAAGAATAATATTCGTGGAGTAGAATACAGAAGAAGAAGAAGAAGAATCTTATATTGCTTAGAAGCCGAAGCTTATCGCACACCTAACTACCCGACTACAACCTCCACCGACTAACCCGAAAAACAAAAACAAAGTACAAAACTAACTACCGCAGCTACGAGAACTACGTACATAAAAAAGAGAAACAGCGCACAAAGAGGGCGCGAATAACAAGTGGTACAGGTAAGCAGAATCTAAGCGACAACAAAGAAACCTCCCCGTGTTAAGAATGAACCCCAAACTTCTCCGTCAACTACATAAGCGAGCACAATCCTAAACATGGTGTTCAACTGAAACGATATCATTACCAACGTTCCCTGGTGTCATATCTATGGACGAAACTTAACAGGACTGGGAAACCATGCGCACGAAGGCAGGAAAAGCCAACCGCAACAGCGTCAGGGTGGAAGCGAGGGGGGTGGTTAAGAGTGGGTCCTCGGGCATCTGGTTGTCAGGCAGCGAGAAATTGAGGAGTGGTGACCGGTAGGTCAGGTAAGAATGGGTGGGGTCGTCGGTCCCAGGAGCAACGGCTAAAGACTGTGCTCGAGTCGTGTTTAAAGTGGTGTCCTCTGGAGGGGACATGCAAAAAGGTTGAGTCTGAGACTCAGTATATATGGGGGGTCGCAATCGAAAGTGCCGACCGTGTTGTATTGAGGGGTGGTCTCGGAGACCAGTTGGGTTGGGGTGAGGGGAGCTGGCCAACTCGGTTAAGAATAGGTTGCCTGGTTAAGACCGATAGAGAGGGGTAAGGTCACGGGACCTCGGGTAAAAAATTTGACGATAGTTTCGCGACCGAAGGGTCGCTAACTTCGCGGGCTGTCGAGCGCTTTGGCAGTAGGTTCTCGCTGACTAGAGATTACTGACAGTGTGCGTACCCGACGTGTGGGATCACTCGTGCGATGAGTGAAAGTAAGGAGGGGCGAAGGCAGCTTTCGAGAGTAGCCGCTGATTTGGCGAGGGGTGAACGGTGGACGCATCCCGTGAGGGCACTGAACGAGCAAAAAAAGGGGGTGTCGAGCGAGGGGAGTTCAGGGTCCGAAGCAATTCGAGAATCAGAATAACTCCATCTCGGGGGAAAAAATTCTATCACGAGCCAGAGGCGAGCGAGTAGAATGCAGAAGAAGAAGAAGAAACTTATATTGCTTAGAAGCCGAAGCTTATCGCACACCTAACTACCCGACTACAACCTCCGCCGACTAACCCGAAAACAAAACAAGATACAAAAACTAACTACCGCAGCTACGAGAACTATGTACATAAGTAAAAATAAGAACAGCGCACGAAGAGGGCGCGAATAACAAGTGGTACAGGTAAGCAGAATCTAAGCGACAACAAAGAAACCTTCCCGTAGTAAATAAGTAAGAACCCCAGACTTCTCCGTCAACTACATTAGCGAGCACAACCCTATACATGGCGTTCAACCGAAACGGTATCATTACCAACGTTCCCGGTGTCATATCTGTGGACGAACCTTAACAGGACTGGGAAACCACGCGCACGAAGGCAGGAGAGGCCAACCGCAACAGCGTCAGGTGTGAAAGCGAGGGGGGGTGTGTCGAATGTGGGTCCTCGAGCATCTGGTTGTCAGGCAGCGAGGAATTGAGGAGTGGTGACCAGTTGGTCAAGTAAGGAGTGGGTGGGGTCGTCGGTCCCAGGAGCAATGGCTAAAGACTGTGCCCGAGTCGGAGTTGAAGTGGTGTCCTCTGGAGGGGACATGCAAAAAGGGTGGTGAGTCGGAGACTCAGTATTGTATGGGGGTCGCAATCGAAAGTGCCGACCGTATTGTGTTGAGGGGTGGTCTCGGAGACCGGTTGGGTTGGGGTGAAGGGAGCGGGCCGCTTCGGTTAAAAAATGGGTGGCCTGGTTAAGGCCGATAAAGAGGGGTAAGGTGACGGGACCTTGGGTAAAAAATTTGACGATAGTTTCGCGACCGAAAGGTCGCTAACTTCGCGGGCTGTCGAGCGCTTTGGCAGTAGGTTCTCGCTGACTGGAGATTACTGACAGTGTGCGTACCCGACGTGTGGGATCACTCGTGCGATGAGTGAAAGTAAGGAGGGGCGAAGGCGGCTTTCGAGAGTAGCCGCTGATTTGGCGAGGGGTGAACGGTGGACGCGTCCCGTGAGGGCACCGAACGAACAAAGAAGGGTGGGTGTCGAGCGAGGGAAGTTCAGGGACCGAAGCAATTCGAGAATCAGTATAACTCCATCTCGGGGGGAAGAAATCCTATCGCGAGCCAGAGGCGAGCGAGTAGAATGCAGAAGAAGAAGAAACTTATATTGTTTTGAAGTACAAGACTTATCGCACGCCGAACCGACCGCCTAAAACAAAACCGAACCAAACAAACAAAAAGAAAACAACGAACAAGAACAAAACAAGAACAAAGCAGGAACAAAACAAACACGAACAAAGGCAAGGGAATCCAAGAGCAATACGCAACAAGAAAAGCCCAAAAACAAGGAAAACTGACATATCTCAGCGGACTCGAGTGCTGGATCCATTAACGACAACAAGAACTAAACAAAATAAAAGGTAAAAGGAAACTGCCCTTCCTAATCCCGCCTCTAGTCATTTTCTTCCATCCCCTCTTCCAGGTCCGCCTCCGCCTCCGCCGACTCGTACCATTTCGAGAGTTGAGATTTCTTTGCAAATTGTAGGATGAGGTCCGTTTTCAGATTTGTGAACATCCAGTTTTCCCAGGTCATCGCTCCGGGGATTTTCTCTATCAGAGGGGCGCGGATTCGAGCCCATGCTGGGCATTCCATCAGTACGTGTTTCGCTGAGTTTTCCACACCACATTGGCATGGTTCGGGGTCTGTATGTACTGCGTGTTTGTCGATTCGGGTGGTTTGGCACCGGATTCGAAATACTTTTTTTGCTTCCGTAAGGGTGAGTTTCGCTATCTTGGGAGGGGGGCGGAATTCCCCCCGATGGTGGTAGTTCGGTATTGGTTGTGTATTCCATTCTTCCAACAGGTGGTCGCGTAGTAGTTTATTTTGATTCCACTTATCTCTCGCATTTCCGGGGGTTTGATATGGGAGTAGTAGAGAGGCGATTCGGTGTAAACCTGTTCCTTTGATATTTGCTTCTCTGTATGGGAGGAGCTCGATCAGGGATTCATTGTTGGGGTGGGTTGCATCGGTACAGAGTATTCTGGTTCCGTACTGTCTTGAACGATATGTC